CCCTGCAGCCTCCTGAGAAGAGGAGCAGCAGCAGCAGCAGCGGGGACCAAGGGGACGAACTTCCTCCCAAAAGCAAAAAGCCGAAAGCTTTGGAGATCTCCAGCCCGTCCCTGCTCCTGGCGGGGAGCGACATCGGCTCCATTGCCCTCAACAGCCCGGCGCTGCCGTCCGGCTCCCTCACTCCTGCCTTCTTCACCGCACAGGTGAGGCGTTAATCTCAGTCACACACAGCTGTCTTAAAAAGTCCCATCAGGAAGCCCAACGTGTGGGAAAGAAAGCGACATCGTTTCCTTGTTTCTAGACGCGAGTTTGGCTTAAGAACAATGGGAAAACCCTGAGTCTGTTACGTTGGACTCCTGTGGTGTTTTCCACCCTCACAGGGATCAAATGCTCAGAAGTGACACAAGCAGCACCAACATTAAACCAGCGGATCAAAACTGAATCCCTCTAAATGGTTCCAGACCAAATGTCCTGTTTCCTGTCCGTCGCTTTAGACGAAGCTAAATATAGTCAGAAAGGTGTTTCGATGATGCGGCTGTTTGGGGTGAACCGGGCTCTCAATCTGCCTTCACCTCCAACGTGCCACCACATGCTGCCACACCCTTCTCTTTCCCTCGCTCCGCACCAGCAGTCGAACCGGATTCTGACACTTTCTTCCAGCCGAAAGCGGTCCAGCTCGTAAGTCACGAAAGCACAAGAAAGCGGTTCCCCTCTGAACGGATGCTCTGATCAAACTTTTCCTGGCTCGGGTCCATTTCCAGGTTTTCGTTGAAGTCCGCCCCGCTGATTCCAGTTTTGACTTCCCCAGAAGGGAAAATGAACTGCAGATCTGAATTTAGCACATAAGTGAAACGAAATACTCGATTATTACCTTGCACTATCGAAGGGATTTTTCCTCCAACACGGAAAAAGTGCATGGTAGTACACTTTGTGTTCGTTGCTCAAAGATTACAGGAGTTCGTAGTATTCATGCATTTAATGACCAAGAAAAAGAGTCAGACTTTTCAGTGTTGCACCCACCTGAAAGCATTTACAGCCAATTAATCGCTGAGAGCAGCAGATCTTTGCAGTGCTTTAAGAGTCCTTAACAAATCCAGATTACACTCGTTCATCAAAAGCTATTTTTTATTTTTATTTTCCTTTTTAATGGGATGTTGTATTTTCGTTGCTAAAACTTCCTAGCAGAAAAAGGGATGAGGTTTCCAGCGCACAGATAAAAGGAATTGAAACACAAATTTCCTTTTTTTATGTATTTTTTTTGTTTTTGCTTACAAAATGACAATTTATTCAGCTATTGATTACATCAAATACCGTAAATAAATGTAAAAAAAACATTTATCAAGCTTTTATGCAGGTTCATCCAAGTTCATTAAATAACATGTTTAAGTTTATCAAGTAGATTAAATATGACTTGCATTATAAAGTTAAACCTAATAAGATTTTTACTAGGTATGTGTAAATGTAATTCATTAAGTAAATACAAACTAATTAAGTGGGATTCTTAAATTATTATTTTTAAAGATGAGTCAGGAAAGGCATTCAGTAAGTATTTCATAAATTTACGGTGTCTGATTTGTCGCCATATTTTTTTCAGACTGTGAAAAAAAATCGTAATTTGCAGGTGAGAAAATTGCAATCGGTGCACCTGCAGTTAAAAATAATCAATAACGATGATAAAAAACAACCTTTTTTTTCCCCCCAGATGTTTTAAAAATCGAAGTCATTTTGCGTGGCGACATGTTTACACCCATTTGTCCTGTTTTTTTTCTCGTATTTGATTTTTTTTTTCCCCCCCAAAGAGGTGTGTAAAATGCTGCAGGTAAGGAACCCTTGCAGCAACAGGTCTGTTTCATTTTCATCTGAAGTGTCAGCCAGCTCATAAATAATGGAGACCTATTAAATTAACTTCCTCGTGACCCGACAAGTCACTCCATGATGCTCATGTTCTCTGTATTTGTCGAAGGTGGCACACTTTTAAATCCAGACTCGTTTCTGCATCAGCTAATATTTGATCGTCCGTTTTAAAATTCGACGTATTTTTTTTTTTAACAGATCACGCAACATCGACGTTAAACCAGAAAGGTATTAATAAGAAAGGTATTAATAAGTTTTCCCAGCCCCGCTGTCTGTTTACGGGTGAACAAATCGGAGGAAAAACAAGCAGTTTACTGAAATCTTCAGCAAGTGGGGCTGTAAAAGAGCAGAGGGGGGCGGCGGGGTGGTCCCTAAGTGATGCCATATGCTCCAATAATTCCATTAATAATGGGAGCAGGGCCGGGTCCGTCCGCTGCAGCTCTGGCTCACGTCGCTGAGGTGACACAGGGAGAGACGAGTGTGTGTGTGTAGACGGGGGGGAGGGGAGTAGATGTAGAAATTGATTTCATATGTTTTCTCTCTTAAGGATCAATGCCCCCCATTGCCCCCCCTGTATTGAGGAGGAGAAACCACAGACTTCCTTCCTGCTCCCTCAGTTTGTTTTTCCAAACGCCAAAGCGCATCCATTTACCGTCTCAGCATGTTTCACATTACCCAAACGTCTCAGAGCAACGTTTTTCCCCCCCAACTCCGTTTCTCCTTCAGTCTTGGGGGGAAAACCTTTTTCTCTTTTGTTTTTTTTTTTATTTTATTTACCGGCCTCCTCCCTCATACGTTTGGACTTCTCGCTCACAGACTCCGTCGGGTTTGCTGCTGGCTCACAGTCCGCTGCTGTCGGGGATCCACTTCTGGAGCAGCCTGAGCCCCGTCGCGCCGCTCAGCCCCGCCCGGCTGCAGGGCCACGGCTCCCTCTTCCAGGTAAGAGCCGCGGCGCATTGTGGGTGTGGCGCCGACAAGCGGAAGACAAAAGGGGCCAAAAATAGCAGAGGAGAACAACAGAAGGTGCAACGCAGAGAGTAATTATTTACTGGAAGCTCTTCAAAAAAAAAAAAAAAAAAAAAAAAAAGACAAAGGAGGAAGTGGCATGCTGGTAAAACACGTGCTCCTACAAAAAAAAAACAAAAAAAAGTTACGATTTTGCTTTTCAGCAAAACTTTGATTATAAATACTTTAAAAAAAAGAAGATTTTCAGTACGTTTTATTCTTTGGTCTTTTGCAAAGCGGCACACACACAGAGTTGAGAGACACGCTCAGACTTTGGAAGCGGTTCCTGCAGAGGTGTCCTGTTTCAGAGCTTGTGAGAGGGAGAGGAAATCCTGTGAATACTTCCTGTTAGAGCCCAGGGGAGCCAGGCTGAACAGGGTGGACTGGTTTGAGAGCTGCTCCTCATTTATGAAACACACACACACTGGAGACACCGTCTCTGCAGGCAGATAGGGCCTGAACAGATAGTGTTCAGGTATTGGTTCATAACGTTTTGAACAAATGATCACTCGTTCTAATGTGGAGCTTTAAGGTTCCAGAGACGAAAAGGAAGGAAGGAACAATGAATTAAAAATTAAAGAGGAAGAAAAAAAAAACAGGAAAGCATAGCAGTGACCATGCTGCAGTTCTTTACCGGAAAGCAGCCACCCGCTAACTCTCGGCCTCGTCTCTCTCTCTCTCTTCCCTCCGCAGTTCCCCAGCCTAATCAACGGACACATGCCTGTCCCCCTCCCAAACCTGGAAGGAACACCCTCCTCCCTGCTCCTGTCCCCCGCCACCCACAAATCCTGATCCAGTGACTGTGAAAGAAACAACAAAAAAAAAGAGCATCATCGTTTAGTTTCTCAGTTGTCCATTTGCAGTCGAGTTCATGTTCAAATTCAGCTTAAAAACAAACAAACTAACTAAAAAAAAACCAAGAGACATGACCTCACTCCTTTTTGCACTTGAGTTGCTCCAGATTCTAGTTGTTGAAAGCACTTGGTAAAAAGCCATACAGCAGGACGTCAGAGACGTCTGTGGTAGAGGAACATTTCATCCACAGACAGGCTCATTCTCTGCAGAAACTTTTTATTTTTGTTTTATTAATTTTGTACAAACATTATTTTTCTCCTTTTTACAAGGTGAAACTGATGGTTTCACTAATGTGGTAAATGTAATGTATGCACTAAGCTTTTCTGATAGTACCAGCCGTGCCTTAGTCTTTTTTTTGTTTTACTTTATTACAAAATCTTTTTAATGAAGACGAGATTTCTGATCAATTAAACAATTTGTAACAGTTATGTACTTTTTTTGTTTTATAATGGACTTGGCATACAGTTATGCATTTTGTATATGTTTTGTATTGTAAAAAATGTCATTTCCAATAAATAAGGCATTGAATGCATGGAAACTTTTTTCATTATTTTAACAACCTTCTGAAAGTATTCATTCCCCTTTGTCCTCAGAGATTTTAGGGATTGGAAGGAAATTGATACATGGTTTGCAAACATGGGGCCCAAAGCCAAATGTGGTTTTGGGGCCTTCTAGTTCTGGTAACATTGTGGACTGGCTGCCATCAGCAGCCCGATCATTAGGTCCTTCACACACACCTGCTATAAACTGCCGATGTTGTTTACATTATGTACATGTATAGGATACATTCACTGGCCAACTGATTTTTCAACCTATTGATTTCTGGGCGCCAGTTTCTTCGTCAGCAAAGGTTTAAAAATAAGCCTCTGATGTACTTTACTAAATTAAAAAAAGTCACGTTCATGTTCCACATTTTGCTTCGTGCAGCGTGTCTGGACCCTCGACGGCTATGCTAAATGCTAATGTTTGGCTGCTAACGTTTAGCCGTGACGTTATGAAGCTTACCGGAAACAGCCTGCGCTGTGAAGCAACCGTCCTCCACTGCGATGAGAAAGAGCAAAGTCGAACAAGTTGACTCGATATTTGAAGATTGTGACCATCGTTTACTTCCACCGCCGCCATTTTGCAAAACTGCAAGCGCGTACAATTCTAAGAAAATTGACGTCATTGCTCAGTTCTTCTGAATTTTGTACAAAGGCAACGATCACAAAAGATGGCGGAAGGTGGGAAATTATATGGGGTATGATGAACACTTCTCAGAGAAACAGAAGCGGATATAAAAGAGAAAAGCAAAACATTTGTTTAAACTTTTAAATTTAATTTGTTTTACTCTGGAAAAAAAACCTCAAAAAATGGGAATCATCTCCAACAAAATCCCACACTGTTAATCATTATTCACAAATAAAGTTAAAGAATATTATACAAAACATCTGTTGTAACACTGGCAGACGAACGATGAGACTGAGGGAGGCAGAACTAGAGAGCATCTTCCTGCTTCAGGAGTTCACTAGCGGTGGCATGCAACATGTAGACGGAGCCGAGAAAGAAAAACAAGAAATGACGTCCCCCAGAACAAAGTAGAACATTGAGGCGTTTCAACGAGGATGTCTTCCAGTGTCGCCCCCGTTAGCATGTTCTTTATCCCAACTTTTGTCTCATTGGTCGTGACTGAGAGCGTCGGAGGACGCAGCCCGCGCTCCGCAGCTCGGGCGTCATCTTCCGGTCGATTGGAAAGCCATCACCTGCCGTGTGACACCTGGCTTTGAAAGCCTTCAGAGGTCACAGATGATTCACGCAGCACCGCTTACGACAGACACAAACGCTCGACCTTCCTCCGAGTTGCCACAGAAACATTGCTACGTCTGCGAACAGCACAAGGAGCTTTCAAGGTGGAGTGAACATGTTAACAGTGGGGAAAAAAAAACTTTAAAAAAAATAAAACTCAAAAATGTATCACGTCAAAGCTCAAAAAAGGAAAAAAAAAGTTAAAAATCTATACAAATGGCATGTATTCATTAAAGTGACTGAGCCAGTTAAATTCTAAACAGTAGTTTGACTTAGCAGCAAATTCAATAAATATAAATGTACAGTAAATAAACGTCTCTTATTGGAGCTGGGCTCGGCTGAACCTGGGAGGAGGACGGAGGGACAGGGGAGGAGTCGTACTGTGGACAGACAGCCTTTCAAAGTATTTTGAGGGGAGGGAGGAAGAGGAGCCATGAAGATGATTTAAACACATTCATCCGCTTTGAGCTGATCTGTCTGCAAGGAGGTCCTTCTCATCGAAAAACAAAACAAAGGTAAAACAGTCCGGTCCGGAGTTTTTAAAACAGCATGCTTTGTCTTCTGTTCTTCCCATTGCCTGGTGGGAAAAAAACAGAGAGGAAACACGGATCAAAACACAGTTCTTATGATTTATAATAAATGGTTTTTAAAGCCAGATGCGAAGGCGAGTGTCGAAACGAATACAAAAAAAAAAAAAACAAGAAAAATAATCAGAGTAAACAAAACAAAGCAACATGCTACCTATTCTTGTTAGCACGCGCAAAGGTTTGTGGGTAATGAGTCAGTTTCACACAGCGGTCAGGCTACCGTAACACAATGTGGAGACTCTGGGATTTTTATAACCACCGTTGACCAATCCAGTTACATTTTCTAGCTGCAGTATGTAAGTATGGATTAATGAATATCAATAAATCAAGTAGGATCAGCAGTGCTTCAGTGCATCATTTGTTTTTTTTTTATTCAGGTAGCATCCCACTGGCAAACAGGACATTCCTCCAGGAAGCTGAAATGTAATTTATCTCCTCTGATCAGTAATAACATAGCAACTCCATTTTACTTTTTACATAAAGTAAGAGGAAAGCAATAACGTCAGAATTTAAATTTGAAAAGATGTGACAGCAGAGTTTATACCCTCACAGATTTGATCTTTGTTTGTTTTTTTTTGGTCACATATTCCAGATATCCAAAATGAAATATTTATTTCACACTTCAGATGTTCTGGGTTTTTGTCACCTCCCAAATGAGTTGTTTCTTTCCCCCCCATTGAGTCGGTTTGTCAGCCGCTGCTACGAAGCTTCACCGCTGTTCCACTCCAGTGGTCCCAAAACCTGAAAATGTCTTTGTAGCCATTTTAAGACTTGATGTCAGCGAGTTTGTTATGAGTTTCTTCACATCGTTGTTTGCTTTTTCAGGCAGAGAAAGTGCTTTGCTGATTGGACGCGAGGCGGTAATCGAACCTTGGTAAGGAATGTGAGACTGAACCCGAGATCTGCTTGAAAACGAGATCAGCCAAAATAATACTCGTATTAAAGAGCACAACTCTGCGGTTGTTGCGTTGGTAAAATATGTTTTATTCCAAAGTTTGTCTCACTACAGTTGCATGCCAATCAGAAGTGATTACATTCATGCAAGGTAATGTGCTGGAACACTTATTGAGTACTCGTCACAGTTGCTATTGTGCCGATACCTTCTTGGAAACCCGAATGCTTTTATTTTCAAGGCTTCGTGTAAAAGATAAATGAATAATAAGTGAGTTTGTGGTCAATTTGTGCCTTTGCCGAAGCAGGCCACTTTACAGTTTACTTAAGGTCACTTATGGTGGTAGTTTGGAATAAAATGCTAAAAATATTTTTATTTTGTTTGAATTTAAAAAGACAAATTCTATTGCACACCATCATCAGTGACTGTGGCTCTGATTCCCATTGATTGATATGAAATATGAGCCAAAACAACTTGCAAAAGTGTCCACACCTCTTAAATATTTCATCTTTTGCAGCTACAAAGGCTCGCATTTATGTGCATTTGTGTCAGATTGTGTGTAATTTGATGTCGGTATAAATACAGGAGTTCTTTAAAGAACAAAGAGAACCAATGCGACCATGAAATAGAGTGGAGAAGTTTAAGGTTGTGCTAAAGACCATCAGCATGATGCGGCCAACAGGGTGGTGGCAGCATCATGCTGTGGGGAATGCACAAATAAGTATCGTGATGGAAGAGACAGAGCGCTGCTCCCTGAAGGTTGCAAAAACACGAGCCTCGCTGAAGATAACATCTGAATAAAAAAATGCAGCCTTGCTCCTTTACAGTCGTGTACGATGTTCTACTTCAAAGTCCAAATGAAACACATTACGCTTCACGGTTTTAACGGGACAAAACAAATAAATAAATACTTCTGCCAGGCAGAATCCCGTCTCACCTGATTCTGCATGCGAGGAGCTCCGGTAGCCGGGGTCTCGCTGCAGCTGCACCTCCTTCAGCGTGAATATGGACATGTCTGCAGAAGAGACGCAGCCTGTCACCTTTCGGTATGAAAGCCCAGACCGATCCCCTCCGCGCTCTGGAAGAGCTCGGGAGCTGTGCACCTCCCTGGCTGCATTTCTGCATCACGATGCGATTACTCACTCTCTGGCAGCGTGTGCACGCGCGGCCCCAGGGTCCTGAAGTACGGCTGCCTCATTGCTTCATCGGCAGAGATCCTCTTTTTGGATTCGTACTGAAATTTGGGACAAAGGGTCGGCTTACGGTTATTAAAGAACAGCTTAAGACGGAGCAAGAATCGCTGCAAAAAGAAACAAAAAACAAACAAACAAAAAAAAACACAACATCTTGCCAAATATTTTCCGTCCGGTTTCTACACTTCAACTAAGACGATTTAGAAGTCAGCAAGAAACACAAACTTGTTTTAAGATAATAATTACTAAATATTGCTGAAAAATACTAGTTATAAGTGAAGTCTGGGAAAAAGTGTGTCGTTTATAACATACTTATTCAACAATATTAAGAAATGATCGACTCCTAACTGCTACTGAAAAGTTACTTGCAAGTTAGAACGTTTGAAATAAGACAAAACTTAAGATATTTGACTGAAAACACTTTTTGCGTTTTTTGCAGTGACCTGTTGTGATTTTAACAAAAACATTATCCTAACAGGAAGCCGCTCTGCTGCTGGCACTGCACCGTTTCTGTCAGGTAGCCAGTGACTCACTTTTAGGAATGAAGACAGCAAGTCGATTCCATCGTTATCCAGCCTGCATGGAAAAGGGGAGAGGGGGGGTGGTGGGAGGAGAGGGGCGTGGGGTCAGTAAGGTGGGGTGACTCACAGATCCTGGCGGCTGTAAGGAAGGAAACTCGGCCAAACAGAGTCAACTATTCCACAGGATTTCCTTACAGGAAGTGACAAAGCACACACACTCCTAGCTAAACAACCCGGCTCCACGAACGTCTACCATTTGACTGCTTTCAGTGAGCTCTACTGCTGTACCTCGGCGTCGTGACAAACGCTTGCTCAGTCCCGCTTTCAATAAGAGGACTGCCAGAAATAAGTGGGGAGGTTATGTTAGTGTGAAGGTTGTTAAAAAAATAAATCCTCGTATGAAGGATGCAGTGCAAAACTCCAAAAATCTTACCAAGTATCTTTGGTCTGGTTTCTACTGCAAATATCTTAAGACAACACTAACTTAAAAGTAACTTTCTCTGCAAGAAATAAGAGCTTGCTTTTACTCAATATGAATGAAGAAGTACTAATTAAATAATTTGGCTTTTTGTCCTGCGTCATGAATTAAAACATCTTATTCCACTGGCAGATTATTTCACTTACAACTAGCACTTTCTTCATCAGTATTAAGGAATTACTGACATTATACGAGCTCCTACGTCTTGCTGACGAGTCACTTGAAATACGATGAAAATACCTTGCAAGTGCGTTCAAGATGTTTGCGCTAAAACTAGACCAAAAGTACTTGGTGACGTTTGGCGTTTTTGCAGTGTAGCAGAGAATGGGACATCTGTCCTACCTGGGAGCATGATTGATCAGCGGCTGTGGCTTGTACTTGGAGAACTTGTAGGACCTGAACTCATCGATGGAGGATATTCCAGGCCAGCTGTCTTCTGTAGGAGAGCCTGTGTGGGACATTTAATCGGAGTCAGGCTTCACTGCGCCAGCTGGAGGGGCTTTTTCATGCACTTAGAGTGTGTGTGTGTGTGTGTGTGTGTGTGTGTGTGTGTGTGTGTGTGTGTGTGTGTGTGTGTGTGTGTGTGTGTGTGGTGGAGGGGTTTACATGCCATGGTTGATGCGATTAAAAGCTCATGTTCAAAAAGTTTGTTTGTTTTTTTTTCCCCCTGTCACCAGGGGCAGCACTGACCTAGCAGTCTGAAGATGAGATGCAGCTCGTCCTCCACTGTGGAACCGGGGAACAGGGGCCTGCCGGCAGCCATCTCGTAGAATATGCAGCCCACTCCCCTGAAAGGTCGACAGATGGTGCATGGGGGTGGGGGGGTCACCAAGAGACGAGCGAGTTCAACTTTCACCGGCGTTCGGTGTCGGGTTCCCCAGAGCGGGGCATTCAGAGGCTGCTTTCAATTCGTCACTCACAAAACTCAACACGGCGCTTGAAGCGTCGGTGAACTCTTTAGCCTCTAAAAGCATTTTAAACCTTTCCATGTTTTGTCAAGTTAGAAACAAACAAACTAAAACAAACTCTTTCCATAGGAACTCTGAAGGAGCTGTAGAGCAATTTTAGTGATTAAAACAAAACGGTTTGTCAGGGCAGATCCAGTCAGATGCAGAGACAGCGATACAAAAAACATTTAGCGGCAATATGAAGCACCTTTAACCCCTTTATCTAAGTTATTCTGCATTTATGGCTTCCATGCAAAGCACTTAAGCATGGCAGAAACTTTTGACCAAGATCTTCTCACCACGACTATGTGACTGTGCCACACAGTGGTGGCGACCTGATAGGAAGGTTTACCCGACTGGCACACAGATAAACCTTACAGGAAGAGTACGGTTTAGACTAAAGCTTACTAAAGTATTAACACATGAACACAAATGGATAAAACAAATATTTTTCACCCTTTTTCTTCAGATTTAGTAAAAAAGTGTTAAATTTCACAAACATTTCATCATTTGTGTTGGGCAATAAAAACTACGCTACACTTTGCCACATTTTATTACATTCGAACCACAAAGTTCAAACGTTATGAGTACTTTTATGAGAAAGCGATAAAATGAGAGGGCTCTGTTTGCACACAGGCCAGACTGAAGCTGTGCAGAGGGAACTCTCCCCGTTTTGGAAATCTTCCGGCCCTCTCCTGCACAGTGCCGACATATGGAAGTAAAGACTCTCTCCGCGCCGAGTGAGGCCCACTCACCACATGTCTATCTGCGTGGAGTATTCAGAGGAGCCCAGCAGAACGTCCGGAGGCCGGTACCAAAGCGTCACCACCTCGTTGGAGTACGTCTTAGTGGGCACGGACTTGGCCCTGGCCAGGCCTGTTGCAGAGCACGTAAAAAAAAAAAAAAAAAAACATCATGTAGTGTTCGGTAGAGGTTTGGGTTATTTTTTCCACAATAATAAAAATAAAAAAAAAACAGAAGATGCGATTACAGCGTTGGACCTCACCGAAGTCGGCCAGTTTGAGCTCTCCTCTGTCGTTGATGAGCAGGTTCTGGGGCTTCAGGTCTCTGTGGAGAACCTTCCGTCTGTGACAGTACGCCAACCCTCTCAGGATCTGGTACAGGAATATCTACAGGAAGAAACCTCTGCGATCAATAAGACAAATACGTCACAGAAAACTGTCCAATTAAAAGCCTGTTAGTGCGTCGTACATTGCTACTCCATCCAACAATCAACGTTTTGGTCAGAAAAATATTAACGTCTTTAACATTTTTGCACTGATTATACCAGTGTCCACACTTTGCCACCAGGGGGCGCACAAGCAGTGTTTCTTAAACCAACACCAGCATACGAGTAAAACAAAACAATCTCGAGAGTTCATTGAGGCAGCTGGGCCGGCAGGTTCACCTTAACGTTCTGCATGCTCAGGATGTTCCCGCAGTCGTCCATGTACTGCTTCAGGTCTTTGTCCTAGAAAAGAGAGCGAGGCCGTGAAGTGACGAGCTCATGATCCGCAACAGTTGCTAAACTAACTGCTTCCCCCAGACTCTGCATAAGGTCATGAATAATAAATGTGAAGAAATGCATAAATTTCGGCATCCGCGGTGCAAGGAAAGGCGCGAGTGGAGAACAAGGTGACAGCGAAGGTGAAGGCAGGCTCACCAGGTATTCGAAGACCAGGGTGAGCGACTTGTCCGTGTGGACGATGTCGTGCAAAGTGACGATGTTGGCGTGTTTCAGGTCCTTCAGTAGAGACACTGAGACAATGAAAGAGGAGAGAAGAGGATGTAATCTCATCCAATAAAGCAAAAAAAAAAAAAAAAAAAAACAGTGAGCAAATTTAAGGCATGACTAAATGCTATTTCTGACCCAGGATGGACGTTCTTTGTGGTTTTAAGACTGTTAAGAGTTTAAATTATGATGATTCAATTTAAGAACCAAGTCTTTTCCTAATTCCACATATTATCTAAAGAAATATGTGGATATTCTCACGTCTTGCCTCGACTGAGGATCTTTGTCCAGGGACCAGAAGCTGGGCTAAAGCAAATCAGCAAACAGTCTGGACACGAAACACGGGCAGATGTAGTTTTTGCAATGTTTTCTTTGCAGTTCCACCCAGTTTATTGTGCACAGACAAAGCTTATAGAAGTTGCTAGGTAATGTTGCAACTAATGACTGAAGCTGTGCAACAAGCTCCCTTGCAACAGTCATTGTCGTTTCAACAGTTTGCAAAATCACAAAGGCAAAGGACTGCCTGGATGCAGGATTTTGTTGGCTGTAACATTTCAGACGCCGTGCATTCAAACGCCGCGAGCACCTAATTTAGATCCTAGCAACAGAGATGCTAAAAGACGCTAAACCTAATGGAGGAAGAAAGTTTTCAAACTTTTCCACTGCCACACTTTAGAGCTAAAAACGATACAAATGAACTAAAACAGACAGCGTCGGTCCACTATTATAAGTCATTTATTACTATTAAAAATAAATTGTGACAATATTCTACATTTTACAGCAGGGACAAATTGAAATGTCACAAAATTGTATGTTTTCAAATGTCTCAGAATATACACCTTACTTCTCTGAGATAAGAAATCTCTAATAAATGATTTGTGTTATATTTTTCCCCAAAAAAAAAAAAAAAAAAAAAATCTCCTGAAGAAAAGCAACCCCAGAGCATGATGCTGCCTCCACTGTGCTTTACAGTAGGGGAAATGTGTAAAAGGTAGGGCCTTCCTGTCGCATTTAGTGCGTAGGATTAAGAAGTCTGAAATCTAAAGCCGCATTTAGCATTAAATTTGCTACTTTGCAGCAAAATGCCTTTGGCTGCTTGCTGCTGTACGTCCAAGTCTTCCCACCTTCTCTGATAGCCGTACACGGGGCCCCCTCTTCGTGCTCCAGTCTGATCTCCTTCAGCGCCACCAGGTTGTCCGTCAGCTTGCTCCTCCCCTTGAAAACCGTTGCGTACGTTCCCTGGAGAGCAGGAGGAGAGGAGGATGAACAAAAAGGCCTCAGAGCTGCTGGACAGAAGCAGCATCGGGTTAAAAACTTTATATCTGTCCACAGGTCCAGCGTTTCAGCTCTCGCAGCTTTAAAGTATTAAAGAAGAAATTAAGCAAGCCAAAAGTCCAGAAAGTACAAAGAAGGAAAGAATGAAAAGGAGGAGCTGCGTTGGTTTTATCAGTCACAATGAGATCGTCTGCGTCCGGGTGACGAGAGAGACGTCTCGCATACCTCCCCCAGTTTGTCCAGTTTGATGTACGTCTCCAGCTTCCCGAAGCCGATTTCTGACTGGAAGAAAGAAGAGGACAAACAACATTAATGTGGGAAGCGTCTTTATTAGCAGCGACAGCATTAACAGACATGGCGACGAATCCTTACGACTGCCTGGCAGCATGAGACGAGGGGCGATGTAAGGAGGTCAAACGCCCAAAACCGAATCAGACTTAATCAGTTGTGACAAAAAGAAAGTTCGCTTCTGGCTTTTGGGATGAGATCGCAAACAGGAAGGCTAAGCAATGACGAGCTTTCCAATCTCCAGATTGGTGCGTCTCCAATAGGGAGCAACATCAATGTGGATTTCTGAAGGAAACGTTTACATTCTCTACATTTCTTTCAAAGCCGAGGCTGGTTCATGTATGGATGTGAGAGCGGTGCCTTTGCAGAGGCCAGAGCTCCTGCCGAGCTGAAAGGTCAGGGAGTCTAACACTCGACTGAAACCATTCGGAGCTTTATAAACAACCCTGCAGGGAAGCATGTATGCTAATGAAGCCAACTGGGTGGGGGACAGGGTTACGTGTTCCTCAGTTCCGCTTTTTTTTCTTTTCTTTTCTTTTTTAACAATGCAAATTCAAAGTATAAACTCAAGCCAATTACTGAAGCTAGCTCACAAAGGGAACGCTGCATTTTAAAACACATGGCGACAAGCTGGGAGGATCAGATTCTCTCACTTCTGCTTTTAAATAAGACACGGCTCTCGCAGTCGGCTTTATTACGGCGTGGCCTCGCCGCGACCCGACCGCTCCGTTTCTATTAAACTCTCATTTCTCTTACTCACAGGCCGTCAACCTCAGATGTCGGCAGAAGGATTCTCAATTTGGTCAAGTGTGATTTAAAAGGCGGCAGTTATAAGATTTCCTATGAAAGTGCATTTTCAATGAAGCAGCCGGTCCAATATTGCTTTTTGCATTGTCTAAATTTACCTGAACAGAGACATATTTAGAAAAAGAGAGGGAAAAACTGGAATTGAACTTCTAATCAAACTTTTTATTTCAATTAAAAACTTCAATTGAGAACTGGATCCTCCCTGGTTCGGATAATTTTCTCTGAAGGTCATTTTGTTTTTTTTTTAATTTTTAATAAATATCAAGTCAGACGACCATTCCGGCAGCTTCAACTTTGTTGCTCCTATAAAAGACCCTGGGAAAAAAATCTCAACCTCTTTTTTCCCCCCAGTCGGTTGCATTTACCGTGAACCCATCCCACCAGGCGCGATCCAAACGTGCTGGGAGAAACTGTATCTGTCATCTAACCAAACAACTTGTTCACACCGCTCGTCTTTGCTGTTCCTGGGTTTTATTTACGCAGAGAGAAAGCGACATTTACTCTGGATGTGGTTCAGAGAAGCTGACGTCACAAAATGTCAGATTCGTGAGGGGGGGGAAGAACCTGACTTCAATTTGTAAGTCTGAAGGAATCAGAGCAGGCTTTCTACAGAAGTCAATCTGGATTTTAGCTTCAATTTAAACACCTTTGAGAGCAATGCTTATGCTATTTCCCATTTTTGTTATCCCATTGATATTTTTCAGCTACATTAGTTACCACAAGTTCTCTTCCAGTCAAATAATTGCAATTGTAAATAAGAAATAAAGTCGTTTCTGACCAAAAGACACACTGCCCATGATCCCTGCTTCTTATTTAACATATTTAATGTTGAGAAACGGAGCTGATTTGAGCTGCTGCCTCTTCCCATTTGACCTTTCTGGACCACAACGTAATAAACCCGACATTAAAACTCCTCCTCTTCCTCACCAGCGATGCTCTGCGGGAGCGTCGGCTCAGCGGCTGATCGAAAGCCGGGCTGCTCAACTGCAGCTTCTGCAGGTAGCCGTCGGGGATCCGGATGTCGGCAGGCAGGGACAGACGTTTGTTCAAGTCCTGCAAATACACCCGGATGGAAATATGAAACAGATCTTAGGAAACGTACAGAGAAACAAAAGTTATCAGGAATCTGCAGATCTTCATCTTGGCTGGTTCTGACCGAAACAGAGGAGACATTTTTTCCTCCCAACATTGAGAACGGATTTTAAAGAATAGTATTTTCTACTATGTGGATGTGGGTCTCCTGTTCATTCAGGCTAAAAAAAAGAGCGAGAGAGAGCAAGACTTCCAGCAGACAGCTGAACAAACTGCATGTTTTTGAATACTTAAGCTTAAGCTCAGCATCCTGGCAATCTTCAAGTTAAAGGTTAGCAGCTGCAGTTTTAGAATACACACAAAAATGTCATTTGTTTTAGCAAGGTTGGCTGTCCTAACCATGGAGATTTCTCATTTAAGACATCAAAAATAGCTCGGAGTCAACTGTAATCATTTAGTCTGTGCTTTGAAACAATCAAACTGTGTTTGTTCTGAAATCAGCCACAAAATTAGCTTAAAATCAAAATCGATGTCAAAAACCTCTTCAGCATAACAGGTGTGTTTATTTAACACACCTGCAGCAGAATGTTTCTTTTTATTATTATTATGCTAAAGCACCTTTTGTGATATTACAAGTCCGTCCCTTTCAGAAATCCGAGAAAGGTCCTGGAATGCCCCGCTAGTCCACTGCGATCCCACTGACATGTTATATAAACTCAAACAGACTCAACATCTGGATCCTTCCCAAAATGCATCTCCAGTTGGTTAGATCACTGTTTTTAATCCGGCCTCTCTCGCTGCTTTAGTTCTGCCTCCAGCTGGCACATTTACACCTAAACTTCCTGTTTTCAGCCAACGCCGACTTTTATGTAACTAACATTTCAGCAACATTTCAGGAAACAGATAGATCTATCCCAGCCTTGTGGACGGGTCACAACAGTGACCCAAGTCTTAGGCTTAGGTAGTTGAATAAACAGGAAGTAGAAAGCAGCACAGGTTGATAATCTGCTGCACAAGGTGAACAGAAATGTCCTCCAGAAGTAGCTGGCGAATCCGCAAGCATATCTTATTAAAATGTTACATTTCCAATTCACATTTAAGGCAAATTAGGTTTAATCAATGCAAACTGGTTTGTAAATGAAATTGCATAATTACTGATTAAATATAAATCACTTTAAAGTGTTACTTTTTTCCATTATGGTAGCACACCATTATTTTTAATAAACCTTATAAATGTGTATTAAAAAAACTTCAGTGGATATTTGGTCAAAATATTTTATCCTAGAACCAACTAGAGGCTTTTAAATTAGATCTGAACTAGGAATCAAACGACTAATCGTGATTAATCGATTATTGAAACGATACTTACCTAATTTAGTAATTGAGTAATTGTTAATAAAGTTGACAAAATAGGACATTTGCTGAAAAATTCAGAGCAGCAGTTACGCAAGACTATACAATATATATCTACATTTTGCATCTAAGATAAAAACACCGCAGTCTGTAAATAAGTTTTAGCCAAAACTTCTAAGGTGGCACAGTTTTATCGTCATCCAGTTCAAAAGTACTAAAGGAATGCTATTTTGTTGCTTTTCAGGCACTAAAATGTAAAAAGAAAATATTTAAGTCTTTTTTTTTTTTTTGCATCTTTTACTGCATTTCTAGTATTGTGTAAAAAGGCCTAAGCGGTAAAATAAAAATCCTGTTGAATGTGCCAGTTTTTTATTCGATTGTCTGAATAATTAATAGAATAACTGATAACTAGAATAATTGCCAGTTGCAGCTCAACTCTCAGCATTTTCTTTGAAAAATGGGAAAAAAAAGTATAAATTTTCACATCCAGTTTACCGCCGTCTTAGTTTGTTTTCATCTAAAGCCATCAACAAAAACACTGCGGCTCTCGAATGGGCCTCTGTCACTGTTTTGTAGATTTTTTCGAACAATTTGCTGATGGCAGATTATTTTGTTTTGTTCAAGCGACGTCCGTCCACCGCCTGACCTTTGCACCCTTGCCTCCCCGCCTCCAGTCGTCCCGTTCTAATCCCTTACAACACGGGCCCGTCTGGACCGCATTACACTAATCCTGGTGATGTAATCCCAAAACGGCATGGCTTCCTCTGCAGAAACGCGATCCGCCACCTGAGCACGCACAGGGACGCTCTCATTTCTCTCAAAAGACCACAGTGGCTGCTCCTCATTAATAACAAGTTTGCTCTGTTGCTAGATACCTGCCAGTTTCTCTGTGTCTTTCATTGTAATGAACTTTTTCTGCTTGTCAAACAGGAAGTCTGAGGTGTGCTGCTCTCTGAGTTTAGCTCTATGTGTGGGCAGCACAACATTTACACCACAAGTACAAAAGGGTTTTTTTTTCCAACCACACGCAATCTTCCATGCATGGTGTCTTGGTTATGCAGGCTATCTGCAAAACCAAGTGTTCATTAATGAAGAAATCACCTTGTTTGAGCTCATTTATCCCATTTTCAGTTGGAACCGCTGAGAAACGTGACATGTGAAAACAGTTTTAATTGTATCACCTTTCACTGACAAAAACGACATCCGTTGAAATGTAAAGATGAAGGAGGGATGTGGGTCTTTCTGAGCATTCACTTGGACAGACATTTGTCCCGATTCCTGATTCATGTCAGCTGTTCAACCTTTAAATCTCATCAGCCCATTAAAACCTGAGGCGCCCTGCACGGGCATGCAGGTGTCGCATTCGCTTCCAACGGTCGGAGACGCACTCGATGCACTCACCACTCTGATAAACGCATGCTAGACTTAAAATACCAAGACGACATCTGCAGGGAGATTTCAATAAACATGCTGATCAATATCTTCCAGGGCAATTTTTCATCCCATTTAACTCGTAGAAGAGAGAAAAACCTTTCACTGCATAAGGAAGAGCAATCTCAAGAAGGAAACAAAGAGACAATCAGAGATTTATTCCTTCATCTCTTCGCATTATGTAATCACAAGAGGAACGCTGAACTTGGGTCGCTCTCGGCAGGATGTGTGAGAGAGAGAGACGGAGAAAAAGGGCTCGGAGTAGGCGGACACAGTGACAATAGTAAAAGCTTTCAAACCATGTTTTAAAAGTCTGCTCTGAAGAACAATAAGTGGAAGAGGACGGAGTGTGTTCACGCTGAGAACACGCCTACGCGGCCGTGCAGTTTGTCTGCTGAAATGCCTTCAGTGAGATGATCAGACTTCCCTTTATTCCTCCGACATCTTCAAAACATATGTTCAGCCATGAAGAAGAGGCCGGATAATCAGACGGCAGCAGAACTGGCAGAGTTAATACGCCGGAGCGTTTTCACGCGTCAGAGTTTGTTAAGACAGACGGATGACTCGCATCCCACAAGACGTCCACAGTGTGACGAGTGGAGAGGAAAAATTAGGACACTACCAGTCTGAAACGTGAGACTGAAGCTCGTCTCACCTCAGCAGAGATGCGTCTGTTCCCTTTGTTCCTCAGACAGACTCCTGTGGGCGACTGCACCTCGTCGGAGGACGTCCCCGACGCCTGATCGCTCTCCCCGTCTGACCCCATGTTTATGTTCTCATGGACAATATCTGGACAATAGGAAGACAAACCGTAAGGCAGGGATGTGCAACACGTGGCTCTGGACCGACACAGGGCTCCTAAGTACTTCTGCAGGGGGTCTCTTCAGCTTAAATCTAAATTAAATACACAGAAAGTTTAATATGTTTAAATACCTAACAGTTCCATGCAAAACACAGTTTTTACACCAGAGTAACATTTAACATGATGAAAGACCGCATTAACAACTTTTAAGCTAATGTAAACACAGTGTACACATTATTTACACTATATACATTGGTTGCTATATTAGAACACTTAATACATTATAAATAAAAAATCTAAATTAGTTTGCTTCACCCACCTTCAACTAGACATATCCTGGTAGTTTTAGATTTTAAACTCTTTTAATTTCACCAGGGTGTTTGTCTCGGACAGAAAATCAGACAGAAACTGTCTTTTTGCAGAGTCGGGTCATCAGTTCAAAATTGTTCATTAAGCTACGCTTGTCGAGCCAAGAGCAGCGGTCAGAAACTCTAAAGGAAGAAAATGTGGTCGCCGCAAAAACAGAAAATGTTTGATGATCTTTATACATCCTGTGAGTTAAAAAAAAACATTTCAGACAGTATTGTGGGTTTTTTTTGAGTTTTCAGTTTATATCCAAGTCATTTTTATTTAACAAAAATTCCATTTCATAACTTCTTGTTACTGATACAAAAACATTACATTTCCAATAAATGTAGGTTATCTTTCAATTTTTTTTGTAAAACTGACCACATTAAGCAAAGCTAAACAATGTGTTGAAATTAATTTGTTGATAGAAGCAAAGTAATTAAGTTGGTCAAGCGTAAATTCAAATTACTAATAAAATTTAGAGTTCTTGCCTGTTTGGCGTTGGAAAATAGAGCCGCTTGCATTTACATGGCATGAAGTGGCATTTCTTTTGCTGCTGCATGAATCGTATTTTGTCCCTTGTTCATAAAGCTTGTGCAACTTTATGTGCAAGTACGGTTACACTTTATTTATTTAGACCTTCTGTGTGTTAATGTCAGAGGACACAGAACAAGTAAATTAGGTTTAATTTGTCTGGCATATTTTATTTATGTCACAGGCGATGAGCCTTACAGAAAAAAAAAGCAGATCAACAAATATAATTGTCCTCTTGCTTGAGCACATTTAGAAACAAAGCACACTTCTATTCCCTCTGGGCTTCATATTTATGTAAAGCACTGATGCATGGTGAACTTGAACCCTTGCTTTGCCTTGAAGAATCTCCATTATTTCTAGTTACATTTATATAAATAAACTTGTGAAAGAAAAACAGGCCTTTGCTGAGGTTTTTGTGAACTCTGTTCATGCATGCGTTCCCCAATCAGGAGGTTAGTCACAGCTGGATTGCTTCTCTTCGGGGTTATTAAAATATAACATTTTCAGAACCTTATTTAAATGCTTCTAACTAAACTCACTATGGTAAAATTGACAGAAGTTCAATATGGGAGAAAATTGAGGTTTCCGGCCATGTTATCAGTACTGAAAGCACAGTGCGACAGCTCACCGAGGCGGCTGCCGTTGCGGGGCATGACCAAACCCAGCCCTCCTCCGATGATGCTCTGCGGCCGTCTCATTGGCGGCTTCTTAAAGGAGCCTGTGTACTGGTGCAGGTACGAGTGGACGCTGTGGGCCGCAGATGGACGGCCGTTCCTCACTATGGGCTCTGCGGGACAGAGGACACTTCCTGTTATGAACACGTCCACTCTAAACAAGAATGTATCACTTAATGATATCCTAACACTCGATTTTATAGACAAATAAACCTTTTCATACAACTAAAAGTCAAATACAACAAAATGTGCTATAGATAACACTATAATTTAAAAAAATATAATTGAAAGAGTCTAAGACTGACTTATTCTCAGCTCTTTCAGTTTCAATTAATCATCAATTATAAACACATTTTCTATCATCTAACTCTTTGTAAAAGTCAAAGAAGTAAAAAAAAAAAGTCAATGTTTCTATATTGTCTTTAATAGGTTTGTGTGCAGAACTAGTAAAAGGCTGTCAAAAATGATTTCATCGGAGACAATGTATCCTCAAAGTTCTTGATGTTTTGATCTACTACTACATCCCTCCCACAGCCTCCCTCTGATACTTCATTACCAAATGTAAACATAGCGGTGAAGCAACGTTGTCCGTTCTGCGCTGTGAGAAATGACCAGACAGAGGTCAAAGTCAACGAGGAGAAAACGGGACGTAGTACGACTTGGAGACGGCATCGGGCTGCAGCGCTGAGGAGGACTGCGCCATCGAGGCTACGGCTTACGCAGATTAGTGAGTGTCAGTGCAGGGTCAGAGGGAAACATGTTTTTATGTGTTTATGACGGATGGATTTGACTGGCTTCCAGCGTCAAATGCTACAGCTTCTTTTTGAACCAGTAAAGCTGATTTTTGTCAGCAGCGATTCAACTGCATATGCACCTGCTCCACAGTCACAAATTGCTTAGATCACCTTATGTCAGCACACTATTTATTAAGTACATATTTTCATTTGGAAAAAGGTGACACACACTAGAATAATACAACAAACACCCGTAGCAATACACAGACATACTGTACGGAGAAGTTAAAAGCCTTACAGTACAAAAGACGAAACTTAAATATTATGGAAAATAGGTACAATAAAAATAAAGCATTTCTATACTGAACCAATACTCAAACATTTACTATTATGCTTGTTATGTATAATGTGTACTACCACTACAGTTAAAGGGAACAACTGGTTGGCAGGCTAAGAGCAGCATGAGGCTGGTTACTGGAGAGGATAAATCAACTGGTAACCCAACTAAAACCAGCTTGTCAGTCTTTAGTTTCTCTACCATGACAAAAAAAGGATGAAATATCCTGTGCAGTAAGTGCAGAACTTTGTATTTGTTCTGTATTTCTAACCACATCTATTGAACAAAATAAAAATAAAAATGTGATATTAATATAACAATAAACATGTACGTGTTAAATTATTTTTCAGCAGTAGAAACAGTTGTTTTTCTGTTGTCAGTGAAAGCACCTCTTTTAGATGTTTTTTTTTTTCTGGATATATATTTCTCTTAACATAGCTGGTCTTTCTTTGATTTAAAAATAACAATAAAAAACTTCCTATAAATCAGATGAAAACCTTGTACATGCAGCCATGTGATTCCCATGTTCTTCTGTCATTTCCCCTTTATCTCTGGGCAGCTGCTGCTGCTGCTGCTGCTGCTGCTGCTGCTGCTGCTGCTGGCCTGATTTATGGGTGTTGCATAAGCAGATCAGCACCAGAACCAATCACACAGTTCAGATCAAATCTCATCTGGCTACTCCATTATGTCTCGTCTCTGCCCTGCTTGCTGGTAAACAGGCCGCAATCTTTCCTTCTCCCAGAGAAACGCGGCGATTCTGCGTCCCCATTATACGAGCAAGGAGCGCCGCGGACTTGGTGCTGATCGCAACACAAAAAGCTCATTGCGAAGCCCAGCGAGTTCTCAGAGGGAGGAGGAGATGGGGGAGTGCGACCGGAGGGCCAAGCTCTGCAGCCGAAACTAAAAGAAACGAAGAGTTTAGAGGTGCAGGGATTAAGAACAGAGGAGGCCATGAATAAAGATGCCTGGATGATTGCACCAAGTCAGCCAAGTCGCCGTGGCAATGTCATGGAAATTCAAGACTGTTTCCAGACCTTGAGAGCCATAGCAACGACACGATGGCACACCGAGGCATGTCGGCCCCTCCTCCCATCCTCCCCACTCTCCTTCTCTGCATATTTTGCAAAACAAAAATAAATAAACAAAGAGGAGGAGCACTGAGCCAGCCTGCTTTAACCTGACGCCTCGACGGCCACAACCTCCACTAGGCTGTGGCCGTCTTCGCGCGAAAAGTACAAAATGTTTCTGCTCCGACATTAAAACACGGCAAAGTGACTGCAGAGTGGAGCTGTGGAGTCGTTTCTCTACAACTTCTCTGGCAAAATAGCACAAAAGAAAGGCAGCTTAAGGACTGCATGGGTTTAAAATAAAAGTGCAACAGTTACATTAGTCCATTTTATTGATAAATGTGAACTGAAGTGAGAGATTAGACATCCACTGATCCAGAGTTTTTAGGTCTGCTTCAGGTTTTATGCAACATGAGATCAACTCATTTACAATTTGGAGAGTTTCCTTTTTTTTTTTATTGATGACAGATAAGCAAAATAGGCTAATATATGTTCTTAAACTGTATTTGATTCTTATTAAAGAAAAAAAATGCATGTTTGGTCGATGCATTTAAAGGAATCAGATTTTAAAACAAAAATTGGCTAATTCTACTCTGGTTGATGAAAGTCCAGATGATACATTTCAGTTTATGTTCAAAAATACCCCATCATACTGAATTATTATTTATTAAATAAATATAATTCAAAGCATAACCATCACTGCACAGGTTTTCAGTCAAATATAAAGTAAAATTGACTTTATTAAGAGTTCTCTGACCTAAACTCAGCCATGTATAAATGTTACGGAGGAGCTGAGCTACAACGCTGTGATTTACCAACGTACAGTCAGATCTGACTCTGTGATGTTGAAAAATCACCAAGGTGATTCACTTCTCGCCAGGCAGCATTGCTGTGGGAAACTACGCTCACCTTCTCTGAAACGTGAAATGAGTCTGCGAGATAAACAACTGTGAAAGCACATCTTACTGACAAATTCAGTTTCTCAGAGAAGAAACGCTGGAATAAAACGTCCCTTCTTTTATATAACATAGTGATATAACACTGTTCCAATGCTGGAATTTCAACAGAATTTGTATACATAGAAAACCAGTTCCTTTACACTCTCTTAAGCTGCAAATGTTATCCAAGTCTTCTGCATCTGCCTCACAGCAGCTATCACAACTTCGTCAATGCTTTCTGCAGTGCACGAGGCTTAATGGATGATTTAATTTAAAATTCACCCTTGAAACAGAACGAGATGTGAACATTTACATTTTAAGGAACACAAGGAGATAAGAGTCAGGCTTTATCAGCCCACATGCAGCAAAGGTCATACTGACCCTAAAACACACAAAGCGCAGCATCGTTTGTGAGGCGCATGGGAAACCGATGCACGGTTTTTAACAACTTTCACAAATAAAATTCTGAAAAGTGTGGTGTGCATCAAGAGTTGTTAGTACCAGATTTTGCTGCAGTTACGGCTGGTTGTGTTTTGTGGTATTTCTCCAACAGTTTGCTCTTCTACAGACTGAAATGCTGGCCCGTTCTTCTTTGCTAAGAAGAACAAACTAAACTCTTCCCAGTTGAAGAAAAGCCTCCCCACACTGTGAGGCTGCTACCAGCAGAGTTAGCTTACGTTTACATCAGCAGAAATCACACACTCTCTTATTACTCATTTTGCTCATTTGTTCTCTTGATCATTATTTTTCTATTTAAAAAAAATTATAAAAGGTGTCAGCAGATGTTTGTGACTGTGATGTGTTGATCTCAAAGCCCCTCCACTGTTTCATATATCTAAACATGAACTCAATGTGCAGTAATTGATGAAATGCGACGTTCGTAAAGAGTGTCAATATAGAGGACATGAGGTCGGAACGCTTTACGTGATGAAGTAAGATTCAAACATAAACGAAGCTCACCGCTGTCCTTCTCGTCTATCGTGATCTGCTCAGCCAGCTCGGACAGAGACTCGTCGATGGTGTGGCTGCCTCGCAGCGTCTGACTGAGGCGTCGCTTGAACCGCTTCATCTTCTCCATGGAGCTCTCAGGAAGGGGAGGCCTTCGAAATGGAAAAAAAAATAATAATAATGAAATGTTAGTGGCGGTAATGGATACAGCTCGTAGGCCGTCTTCCTGATACAGGCCTTGACATTTCACACGGTGAAATCTGTTACATAAACCCGTTCTGGGTGAAGACACCTCATCCACCTGCTGTCATGTTTCGCAATCTCACAAAGAGACGTAGTAAGAAATCGCCAGGAATCCGACAGGGCAAACAATGAAACGGTAAAAATCAACACGGTGACTATGTAATCATGACTCAACTCACTCCGCGGGCCGCCCTCAGGGCCAAAAGCATGACAGGTTGGTGAGAGATTCCTACACGCAACTTTTTTTACAGCACGGTTCCTGGCACACTGAGCTATGAAGGCCAATCACAGGAACCAGCGGGGGATTTGCTGCTGAATGGTTCAGGACGAGCCCGGGCTGCGCCGAGTCCACATCACACATTCCAGCCTCATTTACGGGCTGCGTGAGAGCGGCTGATTGGGGGCGTTTTGGAGACCCTGCGAGCGTACGCGGCGGGGGAGACTCCAGCGATATGGTGCGTGTGACTTTGAATCAAGGCTGGCGATATTCGCAAATTCAACAAACAGCCTCTCCCCATGATCTCATGTAGGTATCAAGACGCCTTCAGCAGATCTGGACATGTGTCTGTCTGCGATGCCGATGAGTAAGGCCAGAGACAAAAACACAGGAGGAGCAACAGTCCCTCAGGGCTCACTGTCAGGTAACTGCTGCACAGGCTCACAGATATCACAGACAAACTGATACGAGTCCAGAAAACCCATCACCACTGGTGCTTTTTAAATTCACATGAAAAAATATGCTTATCCAAGCATTAGGCAACCTCTTGCAAAAGAATAACCACCTCCAGTCTTCCAGATGATTGTAGAGGCCTCAAAAAAATTGTCCCAACATCATGTTAGAAAATATTAGTTTCTGGTCCAAAGTGGTATTTTGATATTAGAGTCAGCACACTGGTTCAATTATTACAGCTCGAAACCAGTGATCAGGTCCAAAATCAGAGTGTGGTGATGGACTCAGACCTGAATATACAGAAACACACAAAGGTAATTACAAAGTTGGCCTTCTATCACCTGAAGAACATTTCAATGACTAGCAGCACTAATGTCCCAGCAAGATCTAGAGAAACTCATTCATGTGTTTTTCTTTAGTAACATTGATTGCTGCAACAGTGTTTTCACAGGTCCTCCTAAAAAAAAAAATAATAATAATAATAATAATAATAATAATAATAATAATAATAAAAAGTGAATCAGGCAGTTGCAGCTGAGTCAGAATGCCGCTGCTCACATTCTGACTAGAACCAAGAAGAGAGACTAACCATCTCTTAGGTCCTTACACTGGCTCCTTAACAAATTAACACATTACATTAAAGATCTGCTGCTGTTGTATCGACCTTTCAGACCTCTGAGGGCTTCTGGTTCTGCTCTGGAGAAGCAGCATTCAGCTTCTGGGCACCACAAATCTGGAACAAACTTCCAGAAAGCTGCAAAACAGCTGAATCAAGACTAAAATCCTGTCTATTTAGATTTACCTGTGATTAGCAGAAAGTAGAACATCGATCAGCGTATTCCATGTGTATTTTCTTGATTATTCCGATGACGGCTTTTGACCATCGGTGATATTTATCGTTTCATAATTGGTCCCCATCATGTTTCTAAATTTGGGGTTTTAGCTTGTAGTCGTCACGCTGAACTGAAATAAGTACTTCAAATATATCACCGTGTGTAATGAACCTACTGAGCATACAAGTTTCTTTTGTCGCCTTATCTAAAATCGTAGCATGATGGACGACTATTTTTAGCAACTTAGTCTGAAAATAGAGTTGAAATTGAAATTTTTGTATCCCCCATCGAGACTTCCTTTCTAACTGAAAGAACCGAGAAGAACCGAGGTCTATTTTCACACTGTGGGAACCAAATGTGAACCAAACAAGCCAACTCAGATAACGACCAAATGAAACCGAAAGGCTGTGGCATTAAACAATTTCAAAAGCTTTTACCGAACCAGCTGCTGCTAGATTTACAGTATTTACAGGATCAACATTATTCTAATTTAGGTTTAAAGCAGGGATTCAAGTTTTTTTTTCCCTCTAAAATCTGTCCTAAGAGGTGAGAAGCAGTGAGCCTGTCCTCCTTCACTCCGCACGGGGCAGGCCAAGACTGAACCTGGGCCACGGGCCAACGCAAATGGGGACAGTGCAGAGCAAAATACTAATCTGTACATCATGCATCATCAGTACATCGAGCTCCACATAAAACTGAGCACACCCATTCCTCCAAAAAGAGTGGGGAAAATAAGCAGAGGAACTGAGCAAGACAGTATTAATTTACTGCATTCAGTGACATTCGTCAGGAACAAAGTGTTACAAAGACCTGCTGTCAACATTTAGTCATCCTGTGATTATTACGGTAAAATGATAAAGCTGCAAGAAAATACAGTCAAGAATTTCACAGTCGCTCTTTGTGTTGCTGAATGTTTGAATTCAGTTGTGATTTAATTGAAATTAGCATTCGTTTCCCGGTTGGCTTGTCAAAACTGATTTCGTTTTTCCTACTATCTAAAAATGATGGGCCTATAAGTAAATGTGCTCACCATCAATTGGCAGCTTAGTAAAAATCAGACGCATATAGAGGGGTAATCTTGTAATTTTGTCATTTTCTGATGGATTTGAACACACTGCTTTTATTAACATAATCTGCAGCACATTCTTTCCTTTTTTATACACAAAGAAAATCAGAAATGAGTAGGAAAATCCTGATACACACGTGCAACTCCAAAAATGTAAAATTCTGACAAAACTGAAACAATTGTATTAAAAAGGAAAGTTTGTCAGTGAAAAAGGAGATTATATATCAGCAAATATCACTAAATATTTTTAACAAAATGTTAAGTCTACCACGGTTGAATATCTGAGTCCTTCAATCATCGCAGCAAAGTACCGAGAGCATATTTTCACAAAAATAAATTTCACTTCTGCATTTTCTCCTCGATTTGTTCCCAGTTCACCGAGTTATTCTTAGTAAAACCACAATCAATTTGATTTTCCGCGAGCCAAGATGAGGGAAAAGGACGCCGACTCGCCTGTCACAACATCAGAACCGTCGGTTCCGCCTCGAGACACGTCATCTCCAGCCAGGCTCGCCGCCTCGCCTCGCTGTCCCGCTGCAGCCACGCACGCACACACACACACACACACACACACACACACACACACACACACACACAACACACACACCCACACACACCCACACACACACACACACACACACACACACACACACACACACACAGCGACATGTGTGCAGCACACACGCAGCTCCACTTTTCTCAGAAAACAAATATTACTCATTACCGCTGAAGCTGATAACTTCCCCAATAGAGCGCTCACTTTAAATGAAGAAAATGAAAGTAGCACTTATTGCAATAACATCCAGGATGAATGCGGCAAAGACATGAAGGCTTTTTCGTTAGGTAGTTTTCAGAAAAACAGCCTGACAGATGAATCAATGACAACCGTTACTGATAGTTGCAGGCCAAAATATATTGCTGTAATAAATCTGGAAAGCAGAAATCCCGACAGCGTTAACAGTCAGAGATAAGATTATGGGATTATGTGGCTCCAAATGAGAACAGACAACCATTCTCGTTTTCCAGAGTTTCATTCATTCCTGTGCTAATTCATGAATCTAGACGGCAGGAATGGAAAGGTTTCATAACTTAAGGTCATGTGAAAACACTTTTTTTTCTTACCATTTTCTCATGTGTTCTGTTTTTTTTTTTTTAAACGAGCACATCAGTAAATAAAATTTGAAAATAGGATTAAATGAAGTCTCTGTGTGCAGTTTAGTGATATAAATTATACTTTTTGTAAATATGTGGCGTCCTGAAGAAGCTTGTATCAAATTAGAATTTTTTTTTTCCGAAAGGCAACAATTTACGTTTGTGGCACCACGAATGCTGCGCCACCGAGTCGTCTTAAGATGAAGTGATCAATTTTATCATCACTTTTATGGTTATCACAGTAGCAATCCAAAATATTGGCATCAAATTCTCAGTCCGTGTCGCCCAACAAGGATGGATCGACAGACGAATGAGTGAATAAGTTGATGCGAGGAAAAAAAAAGATGCAAACATATGTAAATATTCACTAATATTTCCACACCATTTACTTTTTCTATGCTTCATCATAAATCGAAAAAAAAAAAAAAGAAATCTTCTGACTACCAACATCCAATTGGAGACTTTTCATGTCCTGAGACCCAGAAAATAAACCTCACTGAAGAACTAATGGGCTCTGTAGCAGAAGACGAGTGTCTCTTTAGCGCTCGAGTCCATCGGCCCACATTCCTGTAGAGTGTGGAGCTTTGGACCGGATCCCTGCTCGGAGCGGTGTCCCTGCTCCCGGGAGCAGACCGGTCCGCGCTCTGAGCTCCGGATCTGCCCTGGGAGGGGGAGGGAGGAAGTGGGTGGATGTGGAAGAGGAGGAGGAGGAGGAGGAAGAGGAGGAGGAGGGAAGGAGGAGGAGGAGGAGGAGGAGGAGGAGGAGGAGGAGGAGGAGGAGGAGGAGGAGGAGGAGGAGGAGGAGGAGGAGGAGGAGGAGGGAGGAGGAGGAGGAGGAGGAGGAGGAGGAGGAGGAGGAGGAGGAGGAGGAGGAGGAGGAGGAGGAGAGCTCTGAGGTGTGGAACCGAGGGGTCCGAATACTATGCCGTTTCCCGATCATTTGCTGCCACGGCAACCCCCACTGTATTTCCCGTGCTGAAGATGCTAAGCACTGCGGGAAACTTGCATACGTGCTGGTTTTCCGATTCCCTTCATCTTGCATCCGAAGCCGAGGCCTTTCTCCCCCACCGGGTCTCGATCTTTATGCTCATCACCTCGGCCTGAGGTAACGTCTCCTTTAGCCCAACAACAATCTGCTCCACCTGTCCAGCAAGAGCAGGCGGAGGTGAAGCTGATGCAGGGATACAAAGAGAGAGGAGGAGGTGGAGGAGGAGGAGGAAGTGATCGCTGCAGATGCTGAGACACCTGGATTCTGTCCTCCCCCCCAAATACTCACGACAGCAGAGCAGAAACATTTTTTTTTTTTTGAGGACATGAACCGCCACGTGATCGCCTCCGTCTGGACGAGCAAGGTCGAAGCCCCCACATGACCCCCGCAGGGCTCGGCAAAACTCCCTGAAAGGACAACGGGGGGACGCAGACAACACCCACGTCCCCTTTCCGGCTGCTGCAGCGCTCACGCTCGGGAGAATGAAACACGGGAGAAGCATGACAGTTGCTGTGATTCACGGGTGAGCTCAGCCTCGGGTTTTCTGAATAGCAGCCTTTTTTTCTCCGACCCGACCGAGACAATGAGGGCACGAGTGAGGGGCTGCTCGGTCTGTTACTGGGGCTCTAACATAAAGGCTGCTCTGTGCTGAGTCAAAAAGATTCATAAAAAGGGGGCGCCCTCCTTGGATCTGAGGAGGAGCGCTCTGCGTGGTGCTGAACAGATGAGCATGCGCTCGTCACTCACTGATGTAATGTGTCGTTTGTTCCTTATCTTGACTCTTTTTATGCCATTTGACATATTTTCCCGCTCACGGCGCCGTCACACCAGGCTCTCGTGTTGCCTGCATTCAAACGCCTCGTTCGGAGGCGGACAGACGGGTCAGAGCTGATGATTGTGGGAAACTAGGGATGCATGATATCAGTCGATATTGGCCACTGCGCGAGAAATAATTTGGCCGATAACGCCGATATTTTTGTCCCAAATCAAATTTGACAGCTGTTATTGGTCGATACCGATAATATTGTGTATCCCTATGGGAAACAATGTGGAAGAAAGAAGGAGCCAGCAGTGTCCCAAAGCCACAAATCCCAACAAGATTCAACAGCAGCTGATTTAACACTGCTGCTATAGCAGGCCAGCTCCTCTCTGCTCTCGCAAACCATTTAATTCACCGTCATCAACACGTCCATGCTGGAAACAACTTACAGAAAAGTCAGAGATCAGAAATCAACAACAGAAATCTCCAATCTTACCTCCAGTTAGCAAATGAAAGCAATGAAATGAAACAAAAATCCCCTTGCGATTCTGGAAATTATAACCTAATTACCTGCAGTCATGATAGAATTACTTATGACAATTTTCAGAATGATGACTAATTAATACAGTAGTAGGCAAGACGCGGCTGTGTCTCAGTTTAAGTGCCTCTGATTGCTCATAGTACCTGATCAACAATCCAGACTGAGTGTTCAGCAGAGGGCAGGGCTCGAAGAAAAGCTCTGCCACCAGGTGAAACAGTGACGCATTTCCATAAAGTTCCAGATTTGCACTCTTTCAAATGACAACTGTGAGCAGAAATCTACACTCTCAACTAGAGCTGCACATTCTCTTGTGATGTGTGATAATTTGATAAATAGTGGCGACTGACTCATGTAGTGATAAAAAAAAATCAACTTTTAATTTTGTAAATATATCACTGCCAGGCCAAATTGCGAACCCATGACTTCTGGAGATATAGTAGCCCATTACTTGATTGATTACCTACTTTACTGATATATTTGGAAAGTTTTATCTTGATAAATGTTATGTCCCAACAGGAGTTTCTTAAGAACAGCCCACAGCCTTCATTGAACTCCCATCTTGCTCCAGTTGATTAGGTCTTAATGTTAACCCGTTTGTCCTAGGCTAACATTAACTCGTTTACTCTGTTTTGATAGGACTTGTTGAAAGTTTCAGTCACTCGTGTGCAGGCCTTGGGGCGCTCCTAGTCTCAGCCATTAAGTTCCAGAAACATCGATCAGATTTTTGAGAAGTGGAGCGAGAGGACGGCTGACATTTTGGCCTTGTTAACTGCTTCGCTAAACTGGTTCTAAAATATGCTCAGTTGTGTAACGCGACGCAATTTGTCACTGCAATGACTGACACTTTAATCCAAGAATATTCCTTTGTGAGCTCAAAGCAAAACAATGAACTGCTTCTTAGAGGTAAGCAGGCATTAGAGAAAAAACATGACCGCAAAAAAGCCTGATTATTGCAGCATAATTAGCCAAGGGTTGAGTTGAGACGAAATTAATCAAAGGTTAAACTATTTGTACATAACCAGGTCTTTGTGATGCAGTGTTTTATGAATGAAAGAAAAGTCATCCTCAGATGTGACATGTGAACTCCATCAACCCGCCATGCTTTAGAGGTCAACAGAGTGATTTAAAAATATGTATTTTAAATCAAGAGGTGTCAAAAGAACTGATTTCAGGTACAACGATGTTATTAACTAGTTTGGCTCGTCGTGGAGGCAATCAGACCCGTCTGATCTGCATGTTGACTCTGGAGTCGCAGGTTCTCCGATTGAGTGCCGGGCATTAGCATCAAAGAGCGCGACAAGGAGTTTGCCCTCACAGCATCAGCAGCAGCCCCTTTGTGGCTGTTAAAAAGCGGAACAACAGACTGGGAACCAGCTGGCCTGTATTCAGAACATCAGAGATCAAATCAAAGTGTAAACACAAACGGCGGCCTCTGTGGCAGCTTCAGGCAGACTCCGTGGCAGTGCACCTTTTCTTTTTAGGGCGATTAAATAAACATCCGCTGCAAAACTTACTTTGCTTTTGATTGTCTCTTTTGACATCTGAAACGGCACTGAAAAAGAAGAACAAAATAATGAAATGAAATGAATCATCGAGGATCCACAACGTCACAAAAAAGGTTGGGCTTTTCAGGTGCGAGCGCCTGCCTCTGTTGTGTAAAATCATGCCTTTGGCAGCTGATGTGAGGGTTGTGAAATTGTCACGGCAGGCTGTTGCACTGGTTTCTCACATGCAAACTCTGTGGCCCGATCAGGTAGTGAGTCAGACGTTCCCCTCCGCCTCGAAAATTTAAATTATAGATTTAATTAAAGGAAACAGAAGACACCACAAACACAAGAAGTGACTTGTTAATCTAGACGAGCCAGCCCGGAGTATGAGATTCAATCTTGATAAGTAGAAAAAGAAGCACAAATCAAATAAAGACTCATTAATTTGTTTCAGCTGTCATCTCGAAATCAGACGTGGTTTTGGACGACGAGCTCGTTCTGTCGCCGTCGGTTCTGGGAGCGATGTGACCAGTGTTGTGCTGTTTTATTCTTTTTGAGCTTCAATCTGTGTTTGTCGTGGAGCATGCAGAGTTTTAAAATGCCAGCAGCCTTCTGGAAATCTCACAGACCTACATTTTCTCAGACACACATACACAAACAGAGACTACTGTTGTGTTGGTGCAAGCTGCAATGCTAATACAAGATGCTGAAGAATGTCAACTCTGTGAGCATTTTGTAAAGCATTTTGTAAAGCTCTGTTTTACAGCCGTGGCTCGCACCAGGGCTGTTGTAAACAAATATTTTGGTTATCGAATAATCTATCGATTATTCTTATGATTAATCAAGCAATCGGATAAAATAAGATAAAACATTGGTAAATCTAACATATCAGCAGAGTTAATATCGCATATCAACATTAGTCCAATTTTTCACATTTGAGCTTCCCTAACAATGAATTTTCTGTATTTTGGAAAATCAGCCTGTAACAATAGCAGCTCACTTTCTAAGTTAACCTGAAGAAAAGTAATACAAGAATCTGAAGTTCTATTGAATTTAATAATAAAGAGACGGGCTTGCAATTACGCTGATAAAAATACCAATACTCCAGCTTTTTGTTTTTGCATTCATCTCCAGTTATTTTAACAGATGAACTGTCACTGTGCCCAGACATTTATAGCTTTTGTGTTCATGTTAGCGACAGGATTTGACTCCTTCGTTCGTCACACAGAAACATCTTCCAGCTACGTGCCGCCGCCATGAGCTCCGCCACACATCTGGCAGCAGCTCCGGGAGGAGAAAAGCTGCCGGACTCCAGGCATCACGCCCGGTCATTTTAATGCTCATCGGTCCCCGAAAAGCGACAAAGACCCGGACATTATCGCGAATCAACAGAGTCCTCTCACAGTTGGCTTTCCTCAACAACTAACTCAAAAATTAACTTCAATTTCAATTAAATTTTAAGACATTCTTCTGATAAAATTCCATCTTTGTTCTGCAAATATTATAACTACTTTTTCATCATTTAAAACAGAAGTTTCTGCGGCATGGCACTGTTTGAAAACATTTTCTGTCATTTGTCATTTCTTTCTCAGAAAAGAAAGCAAGAAAAAAATAATCAGAAATTGGATCTGGTATGAAACAAATTTTAGATTTTATTTTTTAAGTGATGTTGCCCAGTCCTAGTGTAGAAGAAAATGTTGGCGTCTTATTAAGAAGTGCTGAACTGTGTTCGATAAGAAAAAAACCTTTGACATTAACCCAAACATCTGAAGCCTGGTAGTCTAAATTTAGATCGAAAAAGGCAAAACAGACACTGAAACCCAATTTGGATTTTTATCAAACCACGGGGAAGTTAATTATGAGAACATGACAGCGAGCGCTGGAAATATGCACAGCTTTGCTGGCTCTAATAACACGGGCTCAAATGAACCTGTGTTTGTCTCCAAATAAAGACCAGAGCGGTGTTCAAGCATTTCTCACTAAACGTGCCAAGAAAATAAAAAAAATGAAAAATCAGGCAACAGTCGTCCATCACCTGTCTCTAACTAATGCAACAGCTGACGACAGAGTTGCAGAGTAAGTCACTAATGGGGGAGTCAGACGAGTCGTCCGCCGAGCGGCTCTGGGCTGCATGGAGATCTGTAGGTCAACAGATACCTGAATTAAAAAGAGACAAAGAGTCAGGAAGTGGAGGCTGCCAGACATGCAAGCAGCGACCACATGCGAGCGAGCCGGGCCGCATGCCGACGGTAATGCGGCAGAGAAAACGAGGAAGAGTTTCTATTCATGGCTATCTATAGACGGGAGTGGAGGCTGCGACAGAGCAGCTGCCTACCCCGAAACCCCCCAGCCCCACCCACAGAGAGGAGTGACACGTTAACCTTCAGCCAGCTGTCTCAGCCTGCAGCTTCACCTCGCCGACAGGAAAACTTCCTGGACTTCAGGGGACGCTGCGTTTAAACACATGGACTTTTCATTTCTTGTTGGTTTTTAACCTTTTCGTTCCCTGTGGTAACAGAAAGAACAGCTTCCATCCGTGCACAAGCTGAAGACACGGAAATAAAACTCCCAGCTGGACAGACTGAAAATATATTTCAATGAAACCCACTCGTGTGCATGCTTACACACCCTCACACGCCCATTCCTTTGCCGGACCGTCATCTGATCCGCACTGGGACTCAGTTGGGATCAGCTCGGCAGGCTACAGCTGTTTCCACAGCGGGTCAGGTTACCCTGCCACCGACCGTCCCCAAGGCCTTCACCAGGGAGACGGCCCCATGCCAAAACAGCACACACGGGTGCGTCCCTCCGACAGCTCCCTGCTGCCCTCCCTCCGTTTCTACCCAGCCCCACAGCAGCGGCCGCCGCGAGCTGAACGCTGACCCGCTCCGAAGAGGCCATCGCCTACCAGCTCCATACCGGGTCGCCTGGCAGCTCGTGGTTGTCAAAATGAAACCTGCACACAGGAAGTGAGCATGAAAAGAAGTGCTTGAACTGCACTTTCATTCACTCAAGAAAACATGAGAGGCAGCAGAGCATACAGATGTGGCCTTACTTTGTACCTCAACGAGCTTTTCGCAACGCAGACCAGATAAAAGTTGGACTGAAAAGTTGCTTCTAAACATTTTTGCTCATAACACAGATACTTAGTCATTTAGTCTGATCCATTTTCAACAGCCGGCCCAATAAATGGCTTTTAGGAGGATATAAACAATGCAAAAACGCAAACTCCTACCAAGTATTTTTGGTCTACATTCAAGTGCAAATATCTTGGTGCGTTTGCAATAAGACAAAATTAACTTACAAGTTAAAAACATGACTATTTTTCAGCAAGATAGTCATGTGCATGGCTAATCCTAATCAGACCTAATCAGATACTGATTGGTTATCATCACTCAAACCCGGAGGTCGGGGCACTCAGGCAATCATTCATCCAGCGGCCCGCCATGTTGTTGAATTAAATATTTAAGGTTGACAGGAAATGTGAAAATGTCACTCGATAATTATGTGTCCTTGGAAGATTAATACCTGAACACCAACTACAAAAAACGTGAATAAATAAGCAACGATTAGCCTGGTGGAGGCACAAGTAAAGCCTGGTGGCCCGCCAGGCTTGTAATACGCTGAGGAAAACCTTGCAACTCGTACCACTGAATGGGACCACAACTGACGGCTCCCTGAGATGATTATTCAAAGACAGGGAAACAACAGTTGACCCCCAGCTGTCTAAAAGACTATGGGCACAAAAGTAAAATCAATGAGAATAGCAAGATCCAGAGATACAAATCAGCATTGTTACTCACTGTCCCTGTCAAAGGTCAAAAATGCCTCAGTTGGATGACCCGGTTCATCACATCAACCTGCACAGTCACTCAAAACAAAACTTTTTTTTTCTCATTTCTGATCTTATTTAATATTTGTTTAAAGTTAACATCTTGTGCTTCTAAAATACAGACGACCTTTTGAATCTTCTGCTGCGTCCTCTCAGGGTTGATCCTGCATCAACAGGAGATTGTAGGGAATCACAGAAAGCTGCTCCAGTCCGGGCCTTCACGCAGCAGCTCAGCCGGGGCTCAAAGCTCCTCTTCCGGGGCTGCGTGCGAAGGCTGAGGCCGGTGTGACACCTCAGAAATGCGGGTCATTGGATGTTTGGGTGGCAGCAGTGTAAGATGATCCACGGAGAGCACCCGGCCGGCCCTGCCGTCCCACGCAGCTCTCTGACAGCTTCCACGCAGGATGTTCGTGGAGCAACAAAGACGATACAAATGCCGGAGCACAAATCACAAACTGTTCGCCTTCTCTGAACTTAGTTCAGCAGCATCCAGCTGGTGAACCGCGGCCACTCACCGGAGACTCTCTGCGCTCAAACCGTCTCTAAAGTCCACATTTCTTGCGCGGCCGCGTCGTTGTTACGCTTTGTGCGTCCGCGGAGCGCAAAGTTGAGCAAACTGAGCAGAAATGTAGTGAAAACGAGCCTCACCAGAAGCGACGCAGGCTGCTCCGACCGGAGTCCCCGACCTCGGAGCGTCTTTTCCTCAGGCCGGATGCCGTCGTTCCCTCCGAGCGTGGAAAAAAACCAGAAACACGGAGAAGCAGCTGCTTCTGCTTTTGTGGCTTGTGTGAGGTCGATACTTTCTCCTCCGCAGTGTCGCTTATACCAGCGGGGTCGCAGCGTCCAGCACCATGATTTTGTGGCTTACGCTTCAAAGTTTCTCTCCCCGCAGAGGGCAGGAAGCTCCGTCGAAGGGCTTGTCGACGAGCAGAGCATGGCAGAGGGGACGGCGGCGATTACCAGTTGATCTGTGTCAGTCCCTCCGCGCCAGCTGACGCTGCCTTCTGCCACCAACGGCCGCGAGAGCTGTCGAGCCGCCGCGGTTCCAACAGCGCCATCTACCGGCAGCCGCGGGGAAAAAGAAAAAAAACAACAACACAGCACCGAGTTTGACTCGACGGCGACATCTGCTGGAGAATATTTGATACGGCGACGAGTCTGTGGATTGAAAACAAAAATCACGCGTATTTTCTCACGTCACAAACGTGAAGGTGGAATGGCTTCCAGATAAAATTCAGAAAAAAAAAAAAAAAAGATCCATTCAAATGAAGAATGTGAACGCAGGGCTTCTGTTACAGGTGCAAAAAGTTTCATCTTTAGATGTGCAGAGAGCGAAGGCTTAAAGCAAAAATCTAAATGCTGTTTGCAACAAAGTTGGCATAATAGGTTATACTTCATGTGGGAAACAAATCATCTGGACAACGTGCACTGAAGTGTGGAGATAATTCTTTTTTTAAAAAAAATTAAAGCATTTGTGCATAGCTTAAATGTGTCAATGTCAAATAAGATCAGTTACAACGGCAAAAATCATTATAATATGCAATAGGATAAACATATCTTGAATGAATGTATTTCGTCTAAAAACACACCTCGAATTATTTCATGCATTTACTTGAATGACCCAAAACTGAACGTACCATCGTCAATAGGCCAGAAAGAATTGTCTGTCATAAAACATGAAAGCAATTTTTTACTCATAAACAGAGTCAATAATTTAAATGGGATGAATTCAGCTAAGAGTTTTCAAAGAGGGTTCTCAGGGGAATAAGCTGAGATTAATATCTGTCTCAACAAGTTAGGAAATTGAACAAATTTGAGACCCTTTTTCAGACGTTTTTAATCAAATGGCGTGTGACTGCTGAGCAGGTAAAAAGAAAAGAATTCACAATGAAATCATTTTTTTTTGCACTTTTACCAGTGTTTTCAAACAGGTAATTTTGGCCCAGGATGAAAAACGTTTGGACAGTGTTGAGTTGGGTAAATTCAGGCAAAATCTTTGGGAACGAGGCTCTGCAATGATGATGATGATGATGATGATGATGATGATGATGATGATGATGATGATGATGATGATGATGATGTTTGCACACTCCCTTGAAACATATGCCTTTTGTGTGGGGTTGAGTGCGTGCTAGGAGACCCCTGACCTTTGACCTGTATTTCAGGTTAACTTAATGTCACAATTCAGTTTCATCCATGCAAATCAGAATCATGTTCCTCTTCAGCTTTCGCACCGAACTAAGCGAAGCCTTGCCACTTTTGTCTCGCCTTCTCAAGCCCTCCCTGCGATTTCCTCTCACTTTCCCGTGAGCCAAAGCAAAACCAGTTTCAAATTCCTCACTAAACATTGGGACATTCACGGTTTTCTGGGGCGCAGCCACGATCCACATTGGAAAACAGTCAAGTATGCACAGGGCTGCTCACTCCTGAGCTCTATTTATGCAAAGCAGACGGGGTGGATTGGGGGTAGGGGGGAGTCGTACTAAGGGGCCCAACACTCAGGAGGCCTTTGGCTGTAAATCTGTGCATCAGTTCTTCAGCTCAGCTGTTTTCTGTCACTGGAAGTTAAATATTTATTTGTTCCTCGTCCATCTTTGTCCTACCGCTGGAATTACTCTGAACACTTCTTCATTATCAGCTTGTATAACTGGGTTTGTATCCTTCTCTGACTGAAAAGCCGATTTAAACTAACCTTATTTTCAGTGTGTGGAGTGGAAATCTAACACGTCGCTCCTGAAAGCACTATGAGCTCATTGCAGTATCATGCTGTGGAAGGGGGGGGGATGCAGGGGAGCTGATCAGAGTTGATGGAAAGACAGATGGAGCTGCAGAAAACTTTGGCTAAGGGTTCAAACTTCCATCTCAGTTAAATAAGGAAAACAGGTGATTATATTGTTTTATGATTTATGCACTTTCTTTTTACTTTAGTTCGCTTTTACTCTCAGATCTGCAGAGTGTCTCTCTCTTTCTCTCTCTCTCTCTCTGAATCTCTCTCTCTCTCTTCCTCTCCTGACAGGTAGTCCAGATTTCCCTGAACTCCTCCGTCCTCCTCTAATCCCAGTCTCAGTCATCTCTGTCCCTCCTGCTTGTTTTTTGACTCTGGTTCCCCCGAACACATCAGGACGCGGAGTTTGAAAAAAAAAAAAATGTCCTGGACGCGTGCAACCCTCCTGGCTCTCCTCGCAGTGCTGCTTGCACTGAGCTGTGAGTTTAAATGCTTAGAAAATCTTACGCGGGGACTCTGCTGATGTCTGTTTTGTCTCTCTTTGACTGAGATGTGCTTTTCTAAATAGATTTCCAGTAAGGCCTGTCTCATTTCTGTCTCCTGAACGCAGTGTCTCCAGAGACGGCCGGATCTGCAGCCGTGGACGGCAGCACGAGAAATGCAAAAAGTCCAGCAGGTGTGGAGCTGCATTTCACAACCGTGTGTGACCTCTTGTTTTGTCCTTCAATGCTGAAAAGAAAAAAACAAAAACAAAACAATCTATTCCCCCACCTTAGGTCAGCTGAGGAGGATCTTCATGAAAGAAGCCGATGCCTCCAACTTCTTCAGGAAGCGCAGCAGGCGAGCTGTGAAATCCCAGGACGAGATCAGCGGTGAGTTGGTGGAAGGTGTCCGGTCAGAGAGGCTGAGGCGTCTCGCGGCGTGTGGACACGCTAACGTGGTCACTGTGGGAATCTGTGCGTCACCGTCAAGGAGAGGAGATTTTCACACAGGAGGGATGTGGACCAGTTTGTCCTGGCGAATCCCTTTAGAAATGAACTGCGGATCAGAACAAAATCAAGAAATGTGATTATGCACACTCATTATTATCTTTATTATGAGTAGTAGCAGTGACCTAAACGTGGAACATGGAACATACATCAGCATGAAACGTACAGAGATGACAATGAACACTATTGCCAATATATTGGAATGCTTTGCACATCTGATGCAGAGCTGGTAGGTATATTCAACAACAAGCTGGCAAAAACTGAAAAAAAAATATTTTTAAAATGTGAAATTTTTTGATTTCTCCCATGTCTGAACATGTCTGTCACATTCAAAGCACTTAGCATCATTAAGAAAATCAGCCTTTTATTGTGTTTTCATTCTAAGAAGACATATAAAATGACTCTTTTTATCAATTTTTTTGAAAAACCTGGAATGGTCGCTGTGGTGCTTCGGTTAACCTTTAGCGGGTTTACCCCTCACTAACCGATCACCTCAGTCTGTAGTTACATTACAAACAACACGCTGCTGTGAAGCTGGCGACCGTCTGCCTGTCTTGGCTTCCAAACATTGAACTGCTCCCCTCCCAGCAGCAGGAGGCACAGGCCAGCATGGAGCTCCCACACCCACACCAGGTCTCTGAGCGCAGCCGCTCTCTGGCGGACCGTCTCGACAGCGTTGAGGCGCGATGTTGCGCAACATGCCACAACGTACGTCTGCCAACAAGGTGAAAAAGAGCGAGAGAGAGAGAGAGAAGGAAAGAAGCTGGGATGGAGGAGTGAGGAGGTGGGAGAGCGGCTGAGAGTGCAATGAGGAATTTGCAGGAGCGACCAGACAAAATAAAAGACAGGCGAGAAGGACAAACAGGCCACACATTTTGAATAATAATAATAATAACAAGTCTGTAAGTCTTGTTTAGTCTCAGGATGTTCTGCAGTTAACAGTGGGAGCACAAACTTGAGCAGCCAAGTCTGAGAAAAGGTCAGGGGTCGTGGCCTTCCTTTGGAAAGGTCGGCACTGCAGTCTCTTTTCCGATCGGAGCTGATGTCCCCAACGTTGTCGCAGACGTTCTGAGTTTCACTCACAATCCGATTGCTAAAACAAAACAAAAAAGTTTTCAGACATACGACCTGTTCAGCCCTGACAGGTTTCCTGTTTTTCTTTCTTTCTTTCTGTTTTTTCCAGTTAAACATTTCAGATCAGCAACTCTTTCATAAAGATTAGAGTTGCGGCTGTTACAAGAGGTTCTACCAGTGCAGCTGTGGGTTTCGACGAGTTATTTTCATAAAACCTCTTTTAAGCTGACGTTCTCAACATACTGTTGACGCACCCAGCGTGTTTTAGTCTGATTATGTGGTTATGCGTTTCCATCCCCGAGTCATCACAACATGGCTCTTTTGTTAACTCTTTCGCAACGTTTTACCAGCGTTTCACTGAGAAACAGCTTACGTAACGCGCTCGGCAGATGCGCAGTGCCACCAGGCGTTTGCTAGTTGCTGCTGGCTAGTCTGAAGGAGCAGAGTCAGAGAGTCAAAGGGAAGGGTTGTTCTGAGAGTCGGAGGGTTGAAAGCGTGGAAAATGCTTTCGTGATGAGGGAATAACATTATAAAATAATGCATCGCTCAAAAAAGTTGAGTTTACATAATACTGCCTCTTGAAGCAACAGCCACAAAATAGAAGGAAAAGCAGAGAACCCCTTTGAATGGGAAATCCGGATCGTTATCAACTTATCTGTTTTCTTGTGTGTTCGCAGCGGAGCAGAGGCAAGTTTTGGCTGCAAACAAGCGAAAGAGGGAGTTTCACGAGGAGAAGAGGAACGAGTTCGAGAGCTACGCCGAGGAGGACAATGACGGTACGCGCCGCACGTCGAACAGACGCGGCCGAGAGGAGTTCGCGCAACTTTGAAGCTCAGGTTTGTCTCCCTGATTTCTTCAGAGCAAAGCGAGAGGACCAGAGAGAGCACCGAGCAGTGGAGGGAGTTCCACTACGACGGGATGAATCCTCCCCACGAGTTCAACCGTCACACCGCCTGAGACCGCCGAGAAGGAAGGCTCAATAAATACGCTCTGCTCTTACAAAAAAAAAAATACATTTGATTAATTTTCAGGAGAAATGTTCTCCCATTTTTATTCTAGTGGGGTTTTTTTTTTTTTTGTTTGTTTGCTTGTTTGTTTTTCTTTATGTAGCTTAAATCTAATCCTGTAAAGATTGGTCAAAAATCTTTCATATTTTTGAAAGCAGATCTAATCCGTAATTTAGATCATGCTCGTCGTTTCTCGTCGTTTCATTCCTTCTGCCGTAAACCAGTTGGATTTTTGACGTCAGGACTGATTTAAAAGAACAAATTCTACACAAAATTGAATTCACACAAGTAAATCAACTTCAGATTTGTTCAAATTTGAAACAAAACGACATGTTTCCCACAATTTACAGTAAAATAGGTAGAAATGATCAAAACAAACCTATAGTTTTGTTGTCGTTTTTAAAAAAAAAATTCTTTTCATTATGGCCTAAAAACATTTTACCGTTAATTTCTGCAACATTTGATTGTCTCGTTGAGAAAACAATAACATTATGTTACACCAGGATATTGACAGTGAAAAAGAATTAAAAATACAAGTTGGAAGATAAATCTCTTTTCTTATCGACAGGATTAATATTAATACTCAGTACTCTGTAGAAATGAAAGCTCAGATATTGTTTACGTAGATGTTCACTGAATATTAAGCATTTATCTTAAAGTGACGACGCATATCTGTATTTGTTTTATTCACATCATTATTCAGCAAGGGTTATAAGGTATTATTTTTTTATTGAAACAGTATCTGTGCTAAACTGCTGTGTGATAGTAAATGTTACTTACTTTCCTTCAAAGAGCAAAAATTTACAAAGACTATAAAAAGTTATGCTTTTCTGTTAAATTATCAAGCTTTTCCAATGTAAAAAATAAGAGCTAATAAATTATTGTGATAAAAATAAATAAATGAAACATTTGTTTGAAAAAAAACAACAAAAATCTTTTAGATTGAAAAACAAAAACTCACTTGAAAAATAATGTGGTTGCATGTGCAGGCAGGCCCTGGAACCAGCCTCAAATCACATGGTTTACTTTGTTGTGGACATCATTTTTTTTATCTGTCTTTAAAAGATGGAGACGCTTCTGATGTTACTTTGCCAATGATTCCAACATAGTAGTGAAGATGTAACATATGCAACTCGCTCTTCCCGTTTCATTCAGCCACGGACACATTTCTGCAACGTGGCGTTTAATGTCAACTTAAAATCTTTCATTGCGTCGCGTTTTCTGTAGGGATCCTCAGATTGCAGATTTCTGGCCGATTGCCCAATCTTTTAAAAAGCCTGACCTGCTTTCAGATTCCCATTTTAGCTGATACCGATTTGTTTCGTCTGAAATGTTGCTCAATATAGCAAGAAAGTTGCTGAACTAGAAACAGTGAGGTGACTATTGCTAACAGTAAACGTGCAGACATGGTCCAGTCTGTCAGTCTAACCTCTCTGACGGCGGAGCAGAGGAGGACGGTGGCTGATCTTTAGACCTTTGCCGATGCAGATAAGATCGGTGGAAAAGATCAGCTTCACATGTAAAAATCAGTCGATCACCGATCTCCCAAGATTGCAAAAATCGGCACAGAAGAATCGGTGTACCCCCAGTTTTCTTTTCATGATAATTTACGACAATAAAACACGCAAGGCTGGTGAATGTTGTAGAGGTTTTGTATTTACAGTGAGTATACGTCCAAACTCTTTGATATTCACCACATCTTTTGTCATTAAAGGGCGGCAAAACCTTATACACTGGCCATGCACTTGTTACTTTTCTAGTTTGCTTTTTTTTATATATATATATTTAATTCCACATTCATCTTGAGTGATTAAAGTTAAGCAGAGAAAGCACAAAGAAAATGCAGAGATGAACCCTTTTCTCTTCTCTGTCAGAGGCAGTTTTTACAGAGCAGGAGGGGACGGGGGGTGAGGACGGAGTCCTTCAGCTAAATTCAACAGGCTGGTATGAAAAGCACAGTGATTCAACACAGAGTCGAGCTGTTCCCGGAGCGGCCTCTTCAGGAGCGGAAGCGGGGCACGAAACCTCAACTGCACCACTGCAATGGGAGCAAAACGAAGCAGAATACCGTCACATTACTGGTTGTTCTCCACATCCCGTCAAGGTTCAAGGTTCACCAAGAAGAAACATAGTGTCAGGAAGTAAACATCTATCCCTGTGGCACATTGGGGATCAAAAGCTGGATTTAGGTGTTTTTTTATTCTTTCAGTGAGTCGCATGAGTCAGTTGTGATTGATCACACAGAGGCGTTTGGTTAGATTCAAGCACACATCCCTGCAGATCCCTGAGAACTCATAAAGCGCCCTCCTGTGGATGAAGGAGGACTTTACAGTCACATCGAAACTCCTTAAATAAAACAGCAATTACAAAGTCACATCTATTAGATACTGTATTTATGTGGCAATGACTGCAAGTCCAGTTTTAATAAACATTTACACGTCTCAGCAAATCATATTCTTACAAAAAGTCATAATATGTAATATAGGAAAATAAATATTCCCAATTGATAATCAATCGTTTGCACTCTCTGTCTCTCTCTCTCTGGAATCACAGCCATGACCGATGCAGATTGTCCTGCTTTGATTGTTAACCGAACTTTGAAAAAAATCAAATAAAATAAAGCACAGACACAACACCGACTGCCATACTGCTGGAAGTTATGATGCCGTGAGCCGTCACAGCGAAACACCACAGCGGATTGGACAGGAGAGCCGCCTGAACAACAGCAGGTTCAGAGTGCAGATGATGGCACGATTATTAACCACAGCTTGAAGCTTATACGTTTCACCTGCATGACATGACTCTACAGCACGGCTCCAGGCAGCATGAACAAGGCATACAGCGGAACGACTTTTCACAGTCAAGCTCCAGCAGAGAGCTCCCTCTGGTCCCGTTGCTCCCTCAGCAGCCGCTTGTTTGATCGCCTGCCAGACGAACCGTCGTCTCCACGGAAGCAGCAGCAGCTTCGGGTGAGTCTTCCCTTCTCCCCCCACCTTCATCTGAACTTCCATGTCTGTGTGAAGTAAAGGGGAAGCAGTGCCGTGCGAAACGAGGCCGAGCCAGGGCTCCTCAAATTTCCTGCCTCGGGGTTTCGGCGTCAGCAGACGGGAGGCGGCGGGGTGGAAAAACTGGGCGACCGTGTCGCGTTGTGAGACCCCCTCGACTGCGGTCTCAAAGCTCGGTGGTCTCCCAGCTCACCTCCCGTGGAACCTGGCGTCATTTAGTCCCAGTGTGGATGACCGTGACGGTGGAGGGGCGCGGCCGAGCGGGTTCGGCCACCGTCTGGGGCTCCTCCAGGGACACAGGGAGGTCAGAGTCCTGGTTGTGCACTTTGACGACGGATGGAAGAGGAGCGATGGGGGAACCTGTGGGAGACATCGCTTGAATCAGAGACAGATTTATGCTGCATCATTTTACGTAATAATGAGTTGCTGGCTAGATTAGTTCAGCAAGATATCGGAGCTTGCATCAGTATTAACTCCTTAATATTGACGAATGGACCTACAACTTTTTCATCAATATTAAAGAATCATTGAGTTACAACAAGCTCGGATTTATTGCCAAAAAAAGTTACTTGTAAGTTTGTTTTCTCATTCCAAGTGTACCAAGAGATTTGCACTAGAAACTAGATCAAAAACACTTGATCAAAAAAAATGTGAAAAAACACTTTTTGCAACGCAGTCCTGTTTCTCACTTCAACAAACCTCGTGTAAATCAGAGGCAGTCAGACGATATTTTCCTTTGGTCATACTGGATTTCATTCAGGCGCATCAGTAAAGTAGGTGCACCGCGCTTTTCCAATTTTTCATTGCTAAGATTTTGTGAAGCGGAAACCCAACTCCACAACAAAATCCTACCAAATGTATTTAGGTTTGCGTGCTGCAATGTGTAAAGAGTTTAAGGGATGTAAATACTTTTGGAAGATGTATGTCTCATATCAGCAGCGCTGCAAAAAGGTTTCTTCTTCTCCTTTTTTTTTTTTTTTTTCAAGAGATGATAAACCCAATGGCGGCAGAAGCTTTGATCATCTTAACGGAGCAGGCAGCAGAATGAAAGTTTGGCTAAACTCCAAGCTGGGAGTTGAACACGTCTGTTTTGATCACAGCTGGCATCCGCAGAGTCACTTACAGTCCTTCAGAGAGAGCGGGGCGCAGTCCACAGACTGGCTCTTGGCCGGCGCTCGGCTCTGAGAACTCGCCGCAGCCGTGGCGCTTTGGATGCTGCTTCCGAAGCTGGTGCCGAGCTGCAGACGCCTCATGTGGCGGATCACAGCTGTCGCGTTGAACGCTTGCTAAGCGGAGAAGGTGCAAAACAAAAATTACTCAGCTTTTTTCCCAGCAAGAAGAAACAAAAAGATTGAGTTTTTGTTGTTGTTGTTGTTTTTTGGATTGTTGCTTTTTTTTTTGCTTTGATAAATAAGATTTAACGTTTCACATACCCTCCATTTGCTCTTGGCGAAGTTTTTGCGCATTTGTCGACTGACAGATTCATGTATGTTCTTGCACAGAGCAGTGTCTCCAGCAATCCTGTAGAAAAAGAAAGGAAAATGCACACACACACACACAATCAGTGGAAACATTCGCGCGCACACCGTCCTGCCAGCAGAATGACCCCCATGCTGTTTTCATATTCAATCCCTGCGGTTATTTCCATTCAGTCGCAGCACTTTTTGAGTGGACGGGCTGCTGTTTCTGCAGGATCCCCTCTCACATTCATCATCATCACATCTCTTTACGAAACCCTGTCAACGAAAGCCGTTTCTCTCCATTACGGCGTCCGTTCCCGCCGGTCGTATCAAAACGACCACCTGCCCACGACCCACGAAAACGCCCATTACTCCCTAAACAGATTTGTTGGCCCCCTCGGCGAAATACGTCAGCCCACGCCGTCTCGGCCTCGCGACGACTGACTCAGACCTGGGAATACATCCCAGTTGTTCATTAAGACTTCAAGGATCCTTGAGGATACAAGCCACTAATTGGCGGGGAGTTATTCAGAAGATTTCTCGCCGAGATGCTGGCGCTGCCCGGCAGAGGTGGGCCCGCTGCTTGGAGCCGTGCTGACAGATGACTGTGGGAGGACAAGCTCTCCATGACACATGCGTAAGCCTGGCAATCTGCGTCACAACGCTATGAAACGAGGTGTGTGTGTGTGTGTGTTCGTGTGTGTGTGTGTATGGTTCCTCACCAGGGGTGCTCAAGAGCCTGGTCGCATGTGAATCTCTTTTCAGGGTCCTTCTCCATTAAGCAGCTGATGAAGTCTTTGGCTGTGAAGAGGAGGAGAATAAAAGTCAAGTGTACGTCCAGCTGAGGACACGTTCTTCACTTTCTGACACTCCAGGTTTTGTGTTTTCATCTGATGTCTCACATTAAGCATCGCAATTCACAGTTACTGACAAGAACAAAGGAGGTTGGTAGAAAAAACTAGAAGGGTTTTATGATGCCTGAAACAAGCCAGTGTCTCTTGCTTGATTTTAACTCATCCCCCCCCCTATATATATATATATATATATATATATATATATATATATATATATATATATATATATATATATATATATATATATATATATATATATATATATATATATTGGTTTTATTAAAAAAAACATGCTATCTGTTGAGTGTGTTGGTGAGGTTTATATGTATGTTTGTTTGATTTTTTAAAAACTGATAATTGACTGAGAACACTAAAAATAACCAGAGCTTTAGATATAAATGTCTGCGAAAAAAAAAAAAAAAAAACGTGTCACAAAACAGTTTCAAGGTCAGTCGGCAACATGTTGCAGATTTTGTTTCCTCGTATTCTCAATCTCAATCCACGGAGCTGAATCCAGCCAGAGAGCGGCTCCAGCTGTGAGTCACCAGAGGAAGTGGTGAATGCGACCCCTTCACTCGCGGGACCAGATGAATCTGAAGAGGATGCAGGAAGTACTGCACGGATAAAATTTGCATCACACAAAAATGATTTCAATGTGCGACAGAAGCCTGATTTACAAAACGCTGACGTCCGCAGTTGAGCTACAGTTGGCAGGAAAACTACATTTGTCCGCTTTTTTCCCCCTCTCTTAATGTCTGCAGGTGATTTTCGGAATCTGTTGAATAAAGTTCATGTGTTTCTGCCCTTCTGAGCATTTGTCTGAATCAGCAGCCACATTTTCACAATTCATCTTCATTTCAGGATTTGGTGACCAACTATGATTACTAAAATCTCCAGACTGCTTTTTTTTTTTTTTTTACAAAATAAATAAATAAATAAAATAAAATAAGTGTCATTTGAAATAAAGGGATTGAATCTGGCAAACAGGAACCATTGGTAGCAAATCCAAATTTAGTAAAGACAAACCTCTAACTTTGACGGAACAAGATTTTGTGTAAATTGATGAAAAAGTGGCACAATAACAAACTCAGAGGAATAACAGTTCATCTGTTTGATCCGACAGCAAAGCTGATTGCACAAAGGATCCATTTTGTTTGACACCAAGGACATAAAGCGATATCCTGTCGCATGACTGAGAACTGTATCCATTTAGCTGTCTTGGTTTGACCAGGGGTCATGACCTCTTCTTTGTTTCGAGTCAACTGAACAAAATGGAGGTCAGAGCCGAGCTAAATCTCAAATTAAATATAAAAGTAAATTAAATATGCGATAGACTTTCGTATTCATCTTCTGAAGTCAGAACATATTTGTACAAAAATTAGAAAGGGAAGTTTAAAGAAAAAAACACAAATATTTTAAATAGGGAGCATTTAAAATAGTTTCAATCCTGGTCAATTTAGCATGTAAAAAATTTTTTTAAAAAATTTAAAAAATTACTGTAATGACTTCTCATTTCCTAAGTTTGCTGGAGTGTTGGCAGTGTGCTCCTTTACACGGCTAAATGGTAGGAGGGTTGTGCAAAGAAGCGGTTTCTCTTTGACGCGCGGTTGTGAAAGTCAATGATTTACACTTTGTTTACGAAATTTCTGACTCCACTCAGAAGACCTGCTGTCACTTCTCTGGCTGGGGTCCTTTGTTTTCCACTAAGCCAGAAGAAGATTTAAATATGACGCTATTTTAGGTAAAGCAGGAGCCCCACGTTTGGTGCCGTGGGATGCTGATGCTCGCTTTCCGCACGCAGGTAGCGGCCACGTCTAAAAACGCTGAAACTTGACAAACTGTAAGGCTGGCGCCCCCTAAGCTGCAGCCAGTGATTCGTGTCCACTTTTAAATAGCTCGCTTGTTATGTTTTGACACCAAACGTGGGATATAGACATATTGCAGCATCGAGTTGCCATGGCAGCTGCTGAACTGTGTCCCCTCATTACTTTTTGCCTTGTTATGCGGCTTTAAACACAAGGTCGTTAGCTCTGGCAGAGTTATGTAACGGCAGAATCTCTGGGGGCTTTGATTTACCCTTTATGTCAAACGCAGCGGGAGAACACACACACCCACACATACACACACACACACACATACACACACACACCCACACACACACACACACACACACATACACACACACCCACACATACACACACACACACACACATGCAAACTTCAGCTCACCAGAGTCGGAGATGTCGTCCCAATACGGTGCGTCAAACTCGTAATCTGCCTTCAGAATCTGCTCGAAAAGCTTCGAATCGTTCTCGTCGTAGAACGGAGGGTAGCCGCAAAGCCTGGGAGGAAGATCAAGTTCGAAAGATTACACGACGGTGGGCAAGAAGGTTTGTTATGATGCCTATGTCAGAGTGTTCAACCCGAATCTAAAAGGATTTACAGTGACCAAGTCCTGGAACCTAATCCCGGTTCACAGTATCAAAGTGTGAACGATGTTTAAGCCCCCTGCCGGTTTCTGATCTGAGCACTTGTTCATTCATAAAGCAAACGAAAAAGAAAAATTAGAATTTTAAATGTTAGATAATGACAAGTACTCACAGAATGTAAGCGATGACTCCGATGGACCAGCAGTCCACTGCTTTACTGTACGGCTTCTGCGCCAGAACCTCAGGAGCTGAAACCATGAAATGTTTAATTGATCAGCAATACCTTCATCTGTGTGTAGAAAAATGTTTGGGTTTCTGAATGAATCAGGTTAATCTGGATTTTATTTAAGAATGTTTAAGGAAAATGGCGGCCAACCACATCTGCATACTAAACTTTTCACTTTTCTCATTAGTAAGTAAATTTGGTCTGTCACAAAAACTCCAAATTTTGTAGCTGCAGTCTGGTAAACGTAAAACTTACCGACATATCCTGGCGTCCCGCAGGCGGTGGCCATGACGCCTCCTGTGCCCTCCATCTTGGACAGGCCAAAGTCACTGATCATGATCTTTGAGTCGTCGTGAGGACTATAGTAGAGCAAGTTCTCGGGCTGGAAACACAAACAGGAAGCAGCATGTTGCTTTCCCTCGTCTCAAACCATCCAGGCTAGGCAGTCGGACGGATTTGCCGTTTAAAGAGCTTTCACGGCTCAGTCAAGACCCTTCCTACGGTTTACCGAGAAGGAAAATCCCCTGACATTTAACCTCGACGGGTGATCACCGCAACGTGCGACAGAAACCCACGCAGGTTTCAATGCCAGGCACTCCCCCTCTCGGGCAGAAGAAAGACGCCTACGCGCCAAATGTGAAATACTGCCGTACCTTCAGGTCCCTGTGCACTATGCCCATGGAGTGAAGATAGTTGACGGCGTCCAGGACCTGACGAATTAGCCGACTGGCATCCATCTCTGTGTAGAAGCCCTTTTCCACGATCCGGTCGAACAGCTCGCCACCAGAAACCCTGTTGCCGCAAAAAGCAACACAGGAAACGACAGAAAAGCATGAACAAATAGCATGAAAAAGATCTAGTGGGCTTCAAATGGTTAGTTAAGCCAGTGGTTCCCAAAGATTTTCTGGGCCCCCCCTGTGGATTACAATAAAATCCAACCCAAAAGAACAAGAAAATCAACTGGGCACACCCATCGTTCAACCAGTCATAAACACATATTTTGTTTTCAAACTCCACTGAAGCATATTTCACACTTCAGGTTGCAACAAAACACACTACAAACCATCTTTACAGTGAAACACTTTTTTCTAACTGTGTTTTTTTTTCTTCATTCATCCACTGAGTTAATCCATGCTAGTTTGTCACATTGAGCTTGTAAAGCATAACACTGATGTTGTTGTTTAATATTCTACATCCCTTGCTTGCTAGTTAATGCCAGGAATAAACCCGATTTTCCTTTGTTTCCGTACAAAGGTTGTGCTCACTGTTGCTTTCCACACTTTTAAAAGAAATCTATATTGTCACGAGAGGAAGAGCAAAGAGTGAGAGAGGAGACGTTCAGCCAGAGGCCAGCAGAGGTCAGGTGAGGACTGATCACAACTTGAAGAGAAAAAGAGAAAAGAAAACGAAGCCTAGACTGAGCAGCAATTTCAACTTTTTGTGAAACAATGTTATGGCAAAAGTAAATCTTGACAGCAACTTTTCGGAAAAGCTGCCGGCAAATCAGTCATTTTAGGCGGCAGCAATCACAAACTGAAAAAAAACCCAAAACACAAAACCCAATGTATATTCTAACTCAAAATCTGATAATAGCTATTGCTATTATAAGAGCAATAACTCTGATAATAGGCGTCAGAGTTATTGCTAAACTATTCAGCTGGGCTGATCGGACCTCTAAAACAGGTCCAACATGACAATAGAAACAACAGCAACAACAAAGCTGGGTTTGTGATAGATAAAGAAATCTGGCATTATGCCTGTTGAATATTTCTGATCTCGCCGTAATTAATAAAAGCTGAATATGTCTCAGAAAACATGCTGGCTTTAATCCACCTTTCTGCAATGAACAGTGGTCAGATAATCCAGGGGAATAAACCTTGTTGATGGCAACACTACCTGCTAAATTTTGAAATGTACATGGTGTATTTATTTGTTCATATCTTTTAGTTTATATGAATAAGCTGAAGCTGAGAAAACCTACAATGAATTCAAACAGGTGGATCAATTTCTTGTTTTTAAAATGTATTCAAATTGGACATTTGTACCATTGATCCACCTAATCGAAAAATCAACATATTCATATAAATTACATGATATACATGTACAAAATGCCTCCATATTTAAACATATGTACAAAGACTACCACTGTACTTTATACATCATTCCATTTTCATAAGTTTGTTTTGAAAACAGCTTTTTATTCAGTTTTGTTGACGTCTTCTGTAACAACACTGTTCAAGTTCAAAACTCCTCAGAGTTCATGTTTTTCATTTTCTATCCTCTTGGTAGCTAAAAACATATGCAGATTCTCCCACTCCGATAGCGATTATTAGAGTCGTTGAGGAACGTTCGGGTAAAATCGTAGCAGCAATGTTTTGCATGGTGTTTGTTTTTCTCTTCTCTCATTTCCATAAAGAATTATGGATGTCATAAGCTTGTTGGACACCTGTCCCATTAGTATCCCTTGGGGGTTTCTGACTCGTGTTATCTGGCCAGCCACATGTAGGAACTGAAGAGCAGATCTGACTCCTTTATTACAATGTTAATAATAAAACACTGTAATACGGCGTTTTAGAGGCACTTTAAAAGCTGGAGAAGTTCTGATCCTTTCTGATCTCTGGAGAGGAAATTCTACTCAAAAATCTATTTTAGACAGTTTTCTTGGTTCGCACAGACAGATTGTGATATTTAAACTAGGTTGTTCTTTTTTACTCGTTATAATTATTTTTATTGGTCATAGATGAGCTGAGGTTTGTTTTCGATGCCGCCTCGTGTGACGACAGTACCAGGGACGAATCATCCGGGACGTAACCCCCCTCACCGTCTGACATCGTGTCAAGCCAAACCTTTCATCTTCAGGCCAGTTAGGATTACCGAAATCATTTTTATTAGCTAAATATCCGAATAATGAAAATGTTTTCTGATTTTGCTCGTCTATTGTTGTCCAAGAATTTGGGACAGCCCAGACGATGATACCAAACTTTGTAAAGGCTTCGAGTAACTCACCAAGTTGAGATGATTAGAGGCACATCAGGGAAAATATTTTAAGGCAACAACTCCAAAATAAAAATTCAAGCCCGCTATTGGGGTTGACGCAAAGAAAAAAAAAAACAGGTACAACTGCAAACTATTTCAAGTGGTTTTTGAAAGGACAAAAAATGGTTACCCAATTACATTATTCGGATAAACGTTCCCAATAGTATCGACACACCAACGTTATAATACACGGTGACATTATGCGTCTCGGCAGCGTTTGGGCTTGATGAAGCAGCCGTTCTGAACTCCTTCAATCGGCAATTAGACGAGGCAAAGGCATAACAAGTGACTCATTAAGTTTAGCACCAAGCGTGAGTACGTCTCTGCTTTCACAGATGACTGGCAATCAGTGTTTATTTAAGAATGAGGGAAAGGCAACATCGAGCAGCTTTCAGAGACAAAGGGAGGGCAGCGAGTCATTGGCTAAACTACAGTATCCAATAACTAAATAATCTGCGGTTTAAAATGTAACACTAAAATGAAACCTCATTTCTTTACCATTTTGTAAAGAAATAAAAACATGAAAATAACTTTCAGATCCTTACTTGGGATGCACGGTTTCAGGACAATATTCAATTGCAACAACATCGATTTTTTTTTTATCATAATGCAATGTCTCTACTACTCTTTCTAAGCCCTATCAAAATTAGAGAAGACCCAATGCTTTGTTAACAAAACCTGAGTCAAGTTTGTGCTTTCAAGCTAAAAGGTGAATCATAATTTAATAATGTTTATGATATCTTTGCCAAATTTTCTAAGATCAGATCATGCAATGCTTAGAGAAATCTCAAAATACCCAAAAGGTTAATCTCAGGCCTCAGTTAGCATGTCAAATGTCAAAGGTCAAGCCAGGGCTGACAGCTTAACAAGTACAGTTTATTAGGAAGAGTCGCCAGAGAGAAGGCAAACGGCAGTACAGCTTGCTAAGTGTGAAGTTAGAGCTGAATTCACCTGGATGGATCAGAGCAAACTGGAACTGCTTCAAACTCAAACTCAGCCTGTTTGCACAGACACCTCACAGCAGCTGTGGGCTGCGGCGGTGGAGGGGTTGTTACTTTTATTTTTTAGACTCAGGTTGTGAGTAATTTCCTGTCATTAAATCACCATCTGCATGTGAAAATGTTCTAGAATAAAATATCAGGTCATCTGTCAGACAGCCAAAGCTTTGCCAAAACCGTACCTTCAACAGGATGTTGATGTCAGAACCAGCAGCCCATCGACAACAGAACAAAAAAAACAAAAAAAACAAAAAAAACCTGATGATGATGATGCAACGGCCCAGTCAAAGTTCAGACCTCGACCTCAAGGACATGATGGGACCTTAAATGAACTAACCTCGATGTGCTGAAGGATTGTTTTAAAGAAGTTAAGATATTGCTTCACATCTATGTGAGAAACCGACTGAATCATGCTTCAACTAACCAGCGACTCTTGAAGCTTAAACGCACATTAACTACAATATCGTACATGAAGATGAACTTTGGTTCTATGGAGATTTTCTTGAACTGAGCATCTCCAGTGAAGGTGGAATCATGAAGCATTGAGTTTTCCATCAACATTTGTTGCCTTAGCTGTAAAACAGCTGCAGTTTGTTCAGATATTGAGACAGAATGACTCCTGATTCAGCTTCACATTTACTCAGAAAAGACGGCAGCATCGATACCGTCAACCAAGAGAGCCTCTTTATTAAGAAGCACAGCTGAACTAAGAACTTACAGCTTTGCTTTTTTTTTTTTTTACACACTGCTGCATTCACTTAAGCAAAGATGCCTCAAGGGCATCGCAGACGCTCACTCAGGCTCAGCGTGCGGCACATTATCGAAATGACGGGCCAAATGGGAGGCCGGGAGCTGACCCAAACTAACAGCGTGGTGGGCTGATGTACTTACAGCTGCATTATGAGATACAGGTGATTGGAGCTTTCGTAGATGTCCTCCAGAGCCACAATATTCTCATGTTTGATCCTGGATGGGGGGGGAAGAAGAGAAAATTCACTTAACAACAGCTGAAACCTCCTTCTTAAGCTGACACCCGGCCGACAGAAAGCAGATCCGTCTTTTGTTTCTGTTACACTTCTTTGTCAGAAGAAAGGTGCGCTTGTCAAATACGGTACGCTGCAAAAAGGGCTGAACTCATCTGCATTTTGTCACACCGCGACCACAACGTGCTGCGAGTTTTATCGTGCGAAATGCCAACATGTCGCCGTGCCTAACCTGAAGCAGAAGGAAAACGATGCATTCATTTACATTTTTATTTCAAGCCGGACGAAGTAAAGTACAAATTCGACGTGTGATTTAATTCAGTGTGTGCCAGAAATGGAGCTTATAAAACCACGTTCTGCTTCAATTATTGGACTTTATGACTCTCAGGAGTGACGTCTGCCTTCTGCAGCTTTGCGTATTCTTGTGCGCGAAATAGCTCTGGCTCAGTCAGAGTCAACGGAGACGTCAATAGACAGCAATTTTCAAGACTTTTTCATTAGGTCTTTGGTCTGAACTTTGACTAGACCATTCTAGCACTGGACCATTTTATATAAACCTCTCTACTGCAGTTCTTGGTGCAGTTCTTAGTTTTTCCATAATTTTATTTCATTTTATTAATTTTGACTAGCTTCTTTGTCTGTGATAAAATAAAAAAACAGACAAAAATAAGAACTTTGACGTCACACAGCGCGTTGTTTAGTGACGCAGCAATGGTGGACGCCGCTGTCTGTTTTAAAGTTTATTCAAGATAAAGGAAGCTAATAAAAAGAAAGAGCATCTAATAGAAATTAAATGCTGTGGGGCACCGACTGCAACTTCTGCAGAGAAGTCTGTTTGGATGTGCAGTCAGAGCCAGAAGTGCATGATGCTACGTCCTTTATAATTTCATAATCACAATTTTATTTATTTATTTTTTTAATCACCCTTTGTTTGCGTCCGATTTGGCTTCTTCTGGTGCAAAATTGTGATGCATGTCTCCCCTTACCGATGTAAAACGCGGATTAAATGCAACATGATTGTTCAGATTGTGGGCGCCTTGAATTTTGATTTTTTTGTATTGCTTTATTGATCTTGTATGTGAAAGAGGCTCAAATCAGATTTGGGAAAAGATCCCATTTGGCTCAGGATGCAGAAAAATATTCGGATACGGGTCCCATCTGTGCAAAACAAGAAACAAACAAACAAAAAAAAAAAAACTGATGCACCGCAGCCTATGTGAAATCCAAAAAAAGTTACGCTGGATTGTTTTTCGAGGTGTAAGAATAAAGGGAGCTAAATTGAAATATATGGCATCTTTTGAAAACAAAGAACCATTTCCTTCCACTTTGCACTTACGCACGACTTTGTGTTGGTCTACCACATGAAATCGTTTGTGCAAACCTCCAAGGGGAATGAATGCCTACACGTTAAACTACAAAACCTCAGGATGAACGGAAAATAAGAGCGCTGAGTGCATGTGGCCGGGCGGGCGAGAAGAAAGCACAGGCCGCGTAAAATAAAGTTGACAAAAGGTCTTCAGAAAGGGTGAGCGTTTGAAAAGAGTGAGATGGAGCTGGAGGAGGACGAGGAGGAGGTGAAAGCCTCAAAGGACCAAACAACCTTCACAACTTCTCTCCTTTCCAAGTCTGGAATGAAAATGAAGTTGCAGTTTGAGGACTGTCAGATGAGAAGAGAGCGTAAAAGAGTCACAAACCAAGAGAAAGACAGAGAAAAAGAGAGACGGAGAGAGAGAGAGAGAGGAAAATGCAGCTGTAACCAAGCAACGACAGCCGAGCAATGCAATGCTCACTTTTAAAATGACTGATAACTGAGCTGCTCTGAGTATCGAAATCAGCCCCTGGAGGAGGATGTGTCACCTGGTGTCAGTGCTATCCTATCAAAGCCACATGGGCGGGTGTGTGTGTGTGTGTGTGTGTGTGTGTGTGTGTGTGTGTGTGTGTGTGTGGTGTGTGTGTGTGTGTGTGTGTGTGTGTGTGTGTGTGTGTGTGTGTGTGTGTGTGTCGACAGCAGGGACGAGACAGGGCAGCCACTTAAGCTGGTGGGCTAAATAAACAGAGGCTCAAAAGAGGAAAGAGAGCAAGAGAACCAGAGCTTGGCCCCGGGATAAAAACAAGGTGGGGCGACCCTTTCCTGGAGCTCTGCCCCGGAGAACAGCTCGGTCACTCGGCGGGGCGTACTTCCTGAGCACGGCGATCTCGTTCTCGATGCTCGTCTCCTTGCCCTTGAGCGCCTTCTTGGGGATGCACTTGATGGCCACCATCTTTCCTGTGGCTCTCTCGCGAGCCATCACCACCTCAGAAAACGCACCACTGCAGGACACAGGCAAAAAATTAAAAAAGACAGAGAGAGAGAGAGAGAGAGAGGGTGGTCAGTTCGGTCATATACGAGCTTAGACAATATTGACACATCATCAGTGAGCGGACAGCGGGCACTCAGAGGCAGACGGGCCAGAGTACACAAACAGCATATTGTGAATATTTACTGAGACCCATGAAAGTCCGTGACTGTGGTCAACCACCCGCCGTGCAGCCAAACGCCTGGCAAACACTTTTAACCCCCACCTTTCCTAAAAAAAAAAAAAAAAAAAGAAAAGAAAAAAAACTATCTGCCATTCAGCAGGGCAGATAGCTCGTCTTCTTCTACCACCTGCCCCCACGCGCGAGCGTGTTTAAAAACAAAGCAAATACAGAATTAGGGGAATATTTGCTCAAGCAATCTATCTGTTGCTATGATACCGCAGAGATAATAAGTCTTGCAAAGCAGACCCAGTGATTGCTTCTTCCCCGCTCGCGACACGCGCTCTTTTCCCCTCCGCATATGTCGAGGTTGGCTTCATGTCGGCGTCCTGGGCAGAGCTGGAGAGCTGCAGCATCTTTTGGGTCATATTCACCAGGCCTGATGCTGACGTCACCCTAAATGCTGCAGTTATCTTCACTTCACTGGAGCCTGGTTTTTTTATTATTATTATTATTATTTTGATTTTGAAAGAAAATATGAGAATTGTTTCCCATAGAAATGCTTAAAGCCGATTCTGATGTTTCAGGACTTTCCTGACGCACAATAAAAACGACTAAAGCTCTTGGTTGGTGAGTTTCTAGAAATGGAAGAAATGTAAAGTTTTGATGCATTTAATGAGTGGAGGGGGAAATATTTTTCAGCATATGGCCTTCAGGATATCAATCAGAGTATACCAAGGGAAATATGGTGGTTTTGATCTCTGGCTGACTCACTGATGAAAGCAAAGATAAAGACAAATCTGTTGATTTTAAACTCACAAAGTGACGTTAAAGTCCCTTTAAAACAAAGTGAGAACCACTTTGGTGCAGATTATGTTGTTCACACAGTGCACTTAAATGCATCATCATAATGCATCCAGATTTTCAGACACAGAAAACCTTTTAGTTGATTTACTCACCTCAAAATAGAGTGAAAAATATTCCATTATCATGACATCACTTGTTTTTGTCCTGACAATAAATCCTTTTTCTTACAAAACGACATGAAACGGGTCTATGGCAACGATTGGACGATCGAGTCAAAAATTTGAATCAAGTCCTTTGCACATCACTTTGGCTCTCTGAGTTGTTTTATTGGAGTTAATTTAATTAATTCTAATTTGGATTACAATAATTAGGGGGAGGGGGGGATGCTGATTTAAAACATTCCCTTATTTGGTTCCTCTGATGCTATAAATGAAAAAAAAAAAATAACTTAATGGATAAATGCATCAAATAATCGCAATTCCAGTCTTGTGCAACATTAGCATTTGATTATTTTGACTATATATCAGCAGACTGATTATTTTTTTAGTATTTTTCCATATTCAAATCGCAGCGGCACAGACTCCTGTTCGCTGCTGAAAGCAACCTCATAGTGAGCATCACAGCAGGACAGCAGAGCAGCAGAAGGTGACCTGAAGTGATGACTCAAGCTTTTTCCATGACATCATATCTGCATTTACCTGAGGAAAGGTGGCAGCATGGCGCACTATCAGAAGATATTGACTTTGAAGTTCTGCTTCAAACGTCCTTTAACTTGGAGAAGAAAGCCCTCTGAGCTAACAACAGACCGACTCTGTCCAGCTGTGCATGAGTTCAAGGCGCTCATTTGCCCTAAATCTGTTACATGTTCAGCTGGTGCGGTTCGCTTTCACACTGCACTCTGTCAAACAAACCAAAGCCTTTGGAAAACCTGTTCATTCCCTCGCCTGTGGTGGCGCTGCACCAAGAACCACAGAAGGCAACGACAAAGCCTCTGAAGAAGAGCAACTTCCTGCTTCATGAAATGTAAACAATGAGCATTTGTCCTGTTGTTGGTAAAAAAAAACAAAAAAAAAACACAAGCCCATTTCTCACGCCAGCGCCAGGCTTGCGAGGTTGTTTAGGTTGTATTCACCCAGAATGCCTTGCGCTGGTGTTCTCCCGTCCGCTTGGCGTCCACTTATGAGTTCACTTCAACTTAACCAGACTTAGGGTTTTAGGTGAACCCTAGTTCGTTTTTTTTTTTTTTTTTGGTCCACATCAGAGTTCAGTTTTGCATTCACATCTCCCCAAACGAACCGCATTTTCTATGCAGATGAACTGAAGTTGGATGAAAAGGGACCAAACAGGACTGGTGTGAATGCGCCCACATGTTCTTTAATAAACCTTTGAGGTATTTTACCTTAATAGTCAAGCGGGGATCCAGATGTTCATACCATATGACCCCTCTGAATGTAACTGTGAACGCCGAGAGGGTGCCGACGAAGAACTACTTGTCTTCCCACTGCGGCTCTGGCCGTGGGGACAATGAGCGTCGTTCCCATTCAGCAGCAGCAGCACACGCCAAGGTTTGCCACAGCTGGTGTGAACGTCGACCATCTGCGTGCCGAGCAGTGGGGAGGGGGTGGTTTTGTTTGTTTTTTTTTTCTCTTCAGAGCTCCTCGCTCTCTCTCCCTCTCTCTGCTCTCTGCAGAAGAGACACGCTGATGAAAACCACAGGAAACCTGTGATCTCAACGGGAAAGTGTGCTGAGCTGCATTTTGTACCCCCACCCGGTTCACCACACTGACAAGCAAATACATCACTTCCTGTGAATGACAGCTTTGACACAAGGCCGCCACTTCCCTCGATTTGTCAGAGCATGAACCCTGACAAACAAGGCTGCAAAAGCATTTACTCACTTCGCCACAATTCACAGAAAAAGAGCTTCTTCAGCGCGTGACGGAGACTTGCACATGGCAAAGCTGCTGAATCTCCACCGCAGTCAACCGTTTTCAAACATTTCGTCCAGGTTTCTGCTCTGTGGGGTTGCAAAGTAACAATCATGTTAGCTGGTCGGTTAATTGGATAACAAAATTGCCACATTCTGCAGACTTTTTGCTTTTGCTTTTGTTTTGAACCATTAAAAGATGCATGTGAACAAAACAATAACCTTTTTTAAGTGAGAATCGAAATATTTTATCGCCTAAAATGCAACAACATGGCTTTCCTATCGCGAACGACTGATCATCAGTAGCTGCAGCTAAAAAAATACCTCTGACATCAACATGTGAAGAGCTCAGCTCTTTCTGCTCGACATCAATATGGCGCAGGGCTGATCTGTTGATTGATTCTGGATTACCTGATCAACAACTGGACAGCAGAAGGTGATGAATGGGAGAAAACAAATGATTTTTTTTAATTTAAATTAAATACAAACTGTATATATTTTTTGAACAGTTTTGGCTCAATATTCCTCTGAATATGTTGTTCTTTCGGCATTTCGCTTTTGTTTGCTCCAGTTAATGATTCCAAATTAGTCGACGATTATTTGAGTAATCGCTGGATCATGATTAATTTGATTAACGATGATTAACTCCTAACAGCTTTTTTGTTGTTGTTGTTTATTTGGTTTGTTGGTGATTAAATTCTCTCTCATGTACTCATGCGTGCGGCTGCGGTGCATCTGAACGAGCTCAGCAGCAGACCTCAGAGAAAATCTCCGCTCGATTTCAATCTGATCTCGACCTGTTATGCATCACAAGTGAATCGAGGCTTCCTTTGCAGCGCTCTGTGCTCACAGCTCTGGATGTCCCTACGAGCGGAGTGCGACAGTCTGCAGTCACACAATGTGCAGACAGGGAGGCCCAAAAAAAACCGGCTGACTAATATGAAAGTGGGCTCCGTGTGAAACCCGGCGGCTGTTGCTGCAGATGCAGAGCGAGGCCAGCCGAGAAAACTTTTCACCGCCCCGCCTGCCTGCGGGGGAAAAAAAAAAAAAACGCGGGGAGTAGCCGGCGGCGGCGCAGGAGCTCGGGGTGGGGGGTTGATTAACAGAGGCTCTGCTCCTGGATGCTGGAGGCCGGTGCGGGTATTGTGCTGCTGCTGCTGCTGCTGCTGCTGCTGCTGCTGAGTAATCGCACTGAATCATCTCCTGGAAGATGCATCACGGCAGGCGGTTATGCAACATGATGGAAGAGTCGAGAGCTGATGATGAAGGCGGAGCCGCGGGCCGGGGACCCGCCGGGTCAGAGTCACCTTGCAGCGACGCCTGCAGCCTGACCCAAAACGGAGGATCCTTTCACCACTTCGAGCGACTAATTTATTTCTGTACTGAGTTGCAGTGGCAGAATTCACACAACCCTGATCGTATCCCACTTATACCACTTGAACCTTTTTGTTTTTAAATATTGGCCGTTTACAGCTACAAATCCCAGTGTTTACAACAATTTACACAAACGAGTGCATGACTACAAAGTTATACACTTCATTTCCCCTCCCCCCTTTTTTTAGCCATAAATAAACATAGCAAAAGTCTCCAGATCTGGGGTCTTTTGCAGCTTCTCAGGTTCTCGGTTGCCACCACCTTGGTGTTGCTATGGTGACGGCAGAGTTGAACTTTGCCCTCATCTTCTTCCATGAGCCGAGCTCTCGGCAAAAGTCCACGTTAGGCTTCTGAGGTCTCAAAATACTTTATCAGATAAATGATGACTACTGAAACTCAAACGTTTATTTAGGTTGTGACCACTGATGTTAAAACAACACACACATAAAAAACCCTTTGCTCTCACCCTGTTGAACGGATGTGGGTCAGACTGGGATAAGTTTGCCGCAGTCACATCTTTATCGGGGTTTTTGACTTTTACTGGTGCCCAACAAATTCTCGGCATTTTTATTTTAAAGGTAGCTTTAAGAGGTTTTGTTACGGCGACAGGAAATGAGTATAACATTAGTGGCGGTGAGCCAGTGGTTAAACAGTAATGCATCAAATTAGACACAGATCAATTCAAACTCTCCCATGCTTCAAATGTTAATTAATATTACATAATATGATGTTTTTTGAAAAATCT